TGTGATGGCCTACATTCCTGATCCTGCATTTCCCATGGAACTGTGTGCACAGGGCCCCTACCCAAAATAAATGGGACATCAGCCTTGCCTTTGCTGCCTTTTGATCATAAATCCCATTCCCGACTTGGACCTTTTGCCTGTGTGTGTAAGTGAACAGTAGCACCTGAGAGGAGGTTGGTTTGACCTTGCCCAAGGGAAGGATGGCATGCTTAATAGGAGCAACACGGGTGGCCCTAGAGGAGATGGCGCCACCTAGTGGTGTGGAACAGCAGCCCATGGGTTGGAAAGATGGAAAAACAGTGAATTTAGTTTTCTATCTCTAAAGATTTCTTTCTAAAGGATATAGGGCTGCCTCCAGGTGCCCTTTGCTTCTCTGCTGCAGAAGTCTGAATTCCTGAAAGAACTCAGGAATGTGCTGTGTGGTTCTGGAGACCTCTTGGGTACTTGGGTCCCCTCAAATCATTATGGGGTGCTCCTCCTCAACGCCAGGGTGAAAAAGTTCTGAAGTCCATGAAAGGGAAGAAAAGTGATCTGTTTCATTGTCATACTCTCTTGCTTCTATTAGGAAGTTGACTAAATCCTGACAAATTTTCCACAATTGGGAAATAAGTGGCAGCTCCTTTGACTAAATTCAGATCTTACTAACTTCTTGGTCAAAGTCAGACTTGGAAGGCTGACAGAAGTGTGACAGCACAGCCCGTAACTCTGACCCTGCCCAGGGCCGGGTCTCCTGCAAAACGGGCCTGCTCAACTACCACGCCCTGGGCACACATCTGTCCGCAGAGGCTACTGGGTAGACAGGATTTTTACCGAAAGGTGTGCGTTTTCCACGTCAGTTTTATTTAAGAGGTCAGAAACTACCAAAATGTAGCCGAACTCAAAGGTAGTTACAAGAGGTGTGTGTGTGTGTGTGTGTGTGTGTGTGTGCATGCGCGTGTGTACATACGTATGTACATGCATATTTTCCTGTTGGCAAATTGTTGCGATTCGTGTTCTGTACACTTGGCCTGAAGTAGAGAATTAAAACAATTATCTGGTGTCCCCAGAGCCTCAGAGCTCGCAGGGCTTTGGGAAGTGACTGGTGATGGGGCTGTTAGGAGGCGGGGTCTGGTCAGAAGAGGGGGTCACTGGGGAGTGGCCTGGAAGGGTGCAGCTCCCTCCCCAGCTCCGCACTCCGCTCTGCTTTCCATCCAACATGCCATGAGCATGCTCCTCTCCTCAGGCCCCTGGGCACCGGCTGACCATGGACTGTACCCTCTACAAACTAAACCAAACCCCTCTCCTCCTTTCCGTGGTGGATGTCAGGTCTTCTGTCTCCATGACAAGAAGATGCCTGAGACACCTACATAATCAGGGCCACCGCCATCCCCAGGAAACCCCCTTCCTTCTAAGACTGTGGTGAGGTTGAGACAAACACTCGGGTCCAGCAAGCAGCCTTCCTCTTGGGCCCCCAGAACCCACAGGATTTTCCCATTGGCTCCTGTGAGCAGCCAGGAGTTAGGGGCCAGTGCAAAACCCAGCTTTGGTCTGGTGCCTAGTCCTAGGCTGCTGGCTCTTCCGAGGTGTTTATAGACGCTGGCAGGTTGGATGCATTAGGTCTGAATTTCTACCCCTCCTAAGAAGTTATGTCTCCACTCCTCTGTGTCCTGTCACTCAGGTGACCTACCAACCAGTCTGTGGCCAGGGCCTTGGGAAACCACCTGGCATTGCAGGGAGACACTCAGACAGAGGCGGGTGACCGGGCTCTCTTCTTACTCTGTGGCAGTCTCTTGTTCCCAGAGTGGAGGAGGATGTCTGCTTGAGTCTAGGAGGAGCTGCCAAGCTTTTTGACAGTGAAATTTAAAAGCCATTTACTTCAGTTTCTTTTATATTCAATAAAATATAAAATATTCTTATAAAATGTGTTTGTCTTGCTTTTCACACGATCCAGACCACAGTCTGACAGCCCAGAGAACTGCTTTCTACCCTGACCTCTGCACACAGCCAGAGATGGTGCACTGACAACATCTAATCATGCTCTGACAACCGGACTGGATGAAGAAGCACCGGCCAGCTGAGCGAAGCACACCTCTGGGTGTGTGCAGGGAGGCCTTGTGCACCAACATGGTCCAGGCCCCTTTCCCTCAGGTGCCGTTCCTGCCCTGCTTCCTGGCCTGCTTTGTGCAGGCTTTCCTATGCCACACCCTTCCATCACGATGTTTCTGCCACCGAGCCTACTGGCCATGGACTGAATCTTCTGAAGACGTGAGCCAAATTAAACCTCTCCTCCTTTAAACTGTGGCTGTTGGGTGTTGTGTCTCAGTAACAGGAAAGCTGACTGATACAGAAATTGGTACCAGAGAAGTGGGGTCAAGAAGACCACACAGAGTCAGCCAGGTTGCAAATCCATGACCCACCAAGAGAGACAGTGGGTGCTTTCTCATCTGCTAGGTGCTTCTTAATCCAATGAAGTTGACACTTCAAGATTAACAGTCATGATCCACCACCTGTCAACTTCACACCCAAACACATCTTCTTAAGCCACACCTAATCACCAAATAAAGGCAACACTACATTCATAATTATGCCTAACATAACTATCCTGCATACAAGTAGAAATGCAATAATCTTTTCCTCAATGTCTCCATACTTCCAGGACTTTTCAAAAGTCCAAGTCTCTTCTGAGACTCAGCTGCAAAACCACCGTAAAAATAAAAACCGAGTTACATGATTCCAAGGTACAATGACCCAGGGTAAACATCCACATTCCAAAAAGGAGGAACAGGATAGAAGAGAACCTGACAAACATTAAGTCCTGTAGCTGCGTATCTGGCACCAAGAGCACAAGGCAGTAAACTAAGTGTTCCAAGGAGCTTCGGGGGGCCCACGCCTATAGCCTTGCCAAGCGCAGCTCTCATGGCCTCTCTCATGGGCTGGTGCCGTCCACAGCCTGCAGTTTTGCTCAGCTTCACAGTCCACATTCCTGTTATCTCCAATTTCCAGAGGGCCTCAGTCCCGTAGTTTCACACACTGCCTCTCAGGACTCCTTGCCTGGCCTCCCAGGCCTTCCTTTGAAATCTGGGTGTCAGCCTCGATGACCCCACACTTATATTCTGTGTACCGGTAAAAGCACACCATGTGGATAACGCCAAGATCCGCGGTCAGTGGAAGCAATAGCCAGGCCCCCTTGCACTGTGGCTGTAGCAGCCTCTGAATGGCTGGATGGCCGAGCACAGTGAAATGAATCCTGGGGAGCCAATTCCCCAGCAAGCTGTTCCCCAAAAGGTTGAAACCTTTTGTGCCTGCGAGCCCTTGAGTGGGTGGGGTCTAGCTGTCCCCAGGCTCCTTCAAGTCATCCTTCTTCTCAGGTCCCTGATAAATTACTTGGTTTCTTTTAAACAGTTTTAATATTTTTAGGAGCCACACTTCCTCTGGCCCAACTTTACACAGGGTTCCTTCCAGTCCCAAATGGACGTTTTTCAAATTCTCTGCTCCAGCTTTTGCCCAATTCTCACTACAGATTTGGCTAAAAGAAGCCAGCAGCCACCATGCCACAGCCTGAATGCTAGGCTGTCTTAAATTTTCCTCTACCAGACAAATTAGTCCTCTTCCCTTCATTTAAGTCTCTTGCAAAGTCTCAGGACACAGGCAAAATGTAGACAAATTTTCTGCCAGAGTGGAAGTAATACACACGACCTGTAGTCCAAATGCCAGGGGAATCTTTGCTCCCAACTGGCTTTGATGGAGTGCATTTCCATCAGCAACCCATTCTTCTGAGTTCTGAGCAGAACCACCCAGCAGGCACTGCTTTCAGCACTGTAAGACTTCTCCAGATGGTACCTCCAAACTGTTCTACATACCTCTCAAAAACCAGTTCCAAAGGCTTCTGAACCACATGGTCAGGTACAATTGCACCAACAACCCCACTCAGGTACCAATCTTCTGTACTAGTCAGCTTTCCTATCCTTGAGACACAATATCCATGTCTACAACTTAAAGAAAAGGTTCAATTGGGCTCACAGTTTCAAGAGATTCAGTTCATGGTCATTGGGGTTCAAGGCAGAAACTGCATGGTTGGAAGGGAATGGTGGGCCTAAGATGCTTGGCTCATGAATGACCAGGAATCAGAGCGGGTGAGCAGTGCCAGAGAGAAAGGGGTTGGGGACCACATAGAGTATCTGAAGTCACAACTCCAAGACCCACCCAGACACACCCAGGAGCCTGCTTCACTAACCCTGGGCATTTCTTAATTGAGTGAAGTCGACAAACCAGGATTGACAGTCACAGTACTTTAGGATCATAGAAGTTGTTTTTTTTATTTTTTACAAAGGTTCCAGTTAAAAATTTGCCTTAAATCTCAAAAACAACTTGGACTTGGGCTTTTGAAAAATTTTGGAACTTTTTAAGTCTTTGGAGAGGGAATGAGTGCATTCCTGGTTGTGTGCAGAACAGGTGTATCGTGTTAGGCACAATTACGAACTTGCTATTGTCTTTATTTAGAGGTTAGTACGGTTTAAGGAGATGTGTCTAGCTGTCAAGCTGAGAAGGGTGGACTGTGATGGTTAACCTGATCTGACAACCCGGCTGGATTGAGAAAGGTCCAGGGGACTCCTCCATGGCACCACGAGGAGCCCTGGGGAGCACCTTGTCCCATCTTCCACTCACCCTCCACACGCCTGACGCTTGCGGTGGACATTTCAGATCCGAACCATAGCACCCGGGAAGTATCACTGGTCTCCATCTGCCTCTGATTTTATCGTCCCTAGGAAAAATGTGGAAACTGCAGATCCCAAGAAGACAGGAGCGGTCAGGTCTAGAACTCTGCGTCTCATGTTGTCGTTTGTAGGACATTTGAAAGGCACCTGGTGTTCCAGGCCACGGGGCCCCTACTGGCTCAGCAAGTACACGGTGTCTCCCACTCTGACTGTCCCTGGACTTTGCAGAACAAAGTACTGCCCAAAGAGGGGCAATTTCCCGTACAACTTCTGTTCCGAAGGGTCACACTGGCGGTAACTGCAACAGGAGAGAGAGTTCTGTGGGTCGCAGGCTGGCAGGGGCTGAGGCGGGATCCACCCGCTCGGGGCGTCACCTGACACCTGACGTGTCACCTGACGTGGCCCTGGGGTAACCACAGCAGCGCAGCCCACGCGCATCCCCACCGTGTCTCCATGGACGGACGCTTCCTCTGCGGCACTGGCAGAGATCACTGTCGGGACAGGCCCGGCCACGCTGCGACGCTCAGCGTCCACCTCCCGGCTTCTCTCGTCTCTCCCCGACCTAGGTCCCACCAGTGCGGTGGGCTTGGGGTGCTGCACCCATTTCCCCCACTCACCCCATTCCCTCTCTCCCTGACTTGTCCCTGCTGCCCCTTCCTGTGCAGCATCACGCGGCTCCCCTAGTTTTTTTCTAATTCCTGGCTTCATGATCTTGCTCCCAGCACTCTCAGAACAGCATCGGAGGAGACTCAGTAATTTCCAATCAACCTCCTGTCTCCACCTGCCCCCACCAAGTTCCTGCCTACACTGTCTCCATCTGGCTCTGGCCTTGTCCTTCCTAGCTCCAAAACCTTCAGTAGCTCCCCAGTGCTGAAGAAACACAGTCCCACTCTTTGGCTTGGCTGGAGAGACGTTCTGCTGGCTCCAGCCCAGGCCAGACCCTTCCACCCTGCTCGTTCTCTGTACCTCTCAATTCCTTCCCCTCGCTGTGTCCTACAACTGTGATTCCTGTGGGGTCCCCAAGGCAGTGCAATCCCGCCTTGTCCTCCAAGCCCACCCCAAACACTGTGTGTGCAAGGGAGGGAGCCCGGGATGCTGGGGCCAGCACTCTGACGGCTCCAGGGGGTGTCCTGCAGGAGACGGGCTGGGAGCAGGGCAGGGTCCCACTCCCAGGAACGGCACCTGTGGCCTGGGGAGGTGTGCGGCGACTGAGACCCTCTACAGAAACACTTTCGCCAGGAGGAAAACTCAAGAAGCTGAGGAAGAAGGCACAGGAGCAGAGGGGGCGACACGGGCAGATCCACGGCCCGTCTGGCATCACTGCTAGGTTTAGAACAATGTTATTAGAAGCACTAACTCCACTCTGTCTTGCCTTTAAAAGATACAATTTTTAAAAGAGAGAATAAAACTACTACAACAACTTGGGTCGAATGCCGTGCTGCAGATGAGAGACACCGGTGGGAACCTGGGGTCAGGTCTGGAAGCCCGAGCCCTCAGCCTGCCCCGGCTGTGCCCCAGTCGTGGCACGGGCTCCTCGTACTGCAGCCCCGGGACAAATGCTGCTGGACAAATGAATGAACAGAAAATAAATGGGAGCTGAGGCTGCTCCCTGCGCTGTGACCTGCAGGGGCATGGACCCGGAACCCAGGGAGTGCCAGGCAGGCTCAGTGGGCAGCTCGGGCATGGAGATCCGGGTGTGGACAGCGGCTACCTTGGCCAGGCCAGGGGGGCATGGAGCCGCCTGGGCTCCTTGTGCTCCTGCAGCTGGGGCCCTGGGCTCTGTGCACCTCAGTGGGAGCTCTTTGTATAACGAGCACGCACTCTGTCCCATCCCACCCTCTCGCCTGGGCCGGGGCTCTCGCTGCCCTGCTGGACGCCTGCCCAACACCTGGTTCTGAGCACCAGGCTGAGCCCGCACCAGGCCTACTGGTCACCCGCATTCTTCCTCCATCCCCAGGGGACCAAGCAGAGGCCCTCATGGGCACACCCGCCCCCAGCCCACCTCGAAGCTGCAGAAGTGCAGGTGTGTCACCTGGGCTACAGGGGCTGTCCACGCGGCAGTCTGGGGACAGGTGTGCGAGAGCTCCAGCCAGGAACTGGGCCTCAGCTGGCCCCAGGCTGCCAGGAGGCCGGAGCCACAGTGCTGCAGGCTGGGGTTCCCCTGCCCCTAAGTAAGCACAGCTCCAGCTGCTCCACCACCGCCTTTGAGGTCAAGGGGAGGCCTGGCAAGGCCACTGGCGACCCCTTGTGTGGAAGAGGAGGTACTGCAGGTGGCCTGCTAACGCATGGTTGGGGGCAGAGAGCAGCACTGTCTCACAGCTGGGTCTTCTATGGCCTTTTTTTAAGGAAAAACTATACACATATACTATTTCTGTGGGACTTATTAAAAATACTAATTCACAGGAGACTTTCTTAGTGCCTCTTCTTCACCCTTGCTCTAGTGGGCAGGAGGCTGCACGGAGCCTCCGCGCCGGGCTCCGCTGCTCACAGGGCTCTGGCTCCCTCCCTGGGGCCCTAAACTGCTGCAGTGACCGGGCAGCAGCCAGGCAGGTCTGTGCCCCACTGGGGACCAGGAGGCTGCAAGACCCGGGACCCCGCCCCACGGCTCTCTGCCCCTCACTCCACCTGTGGCCTTCAGTGTGGCCTCCGCCCCAAACACAGCCGGGGCCCACCTTGCCTACCTCCTCAGCGTCTCCAGCGGTTCCTTCCTGTGCATGACGCCAGTGTCCGGGTCCACCGTGGTGAGGATGCACCTGGACACACGCGGCAGTCAGCTGGACAGAGGAGCACCCACTCGCCCACCCAAGGGGGCCGGAGGGCACCTCACCTGGAGCAGGCCATCACCCTTCTCAGCCGCACATCCCCGATGAGGAGCTCGTCCCAGGTGTCCTAGGAGGACAGGCACAAGCGCTCAGCGAGCCCCGGGAGCCCACGCTCAGGGCCTCACAGCAGAGACCGCAGGCATTTTTCTTTGCAGTACTGGAGTTCGAACCCAGAGCCTTTGCACTGAGCCAATTCCTCAGCACTTCTGTATGTTTTATTCTGAGATGGGGTTTCCCTAAGTTGCAAAATTGCCCAGGCTGGGCTCCAACTTGCAATTCTCCTGCATTGGCCTCCCAGAGTGCGGATGACCCGGGTCCATTCCCCAGAGCCCACCCCCCTCTGCCACATGAGTAACGCTGTCTTGGAAACAGCTCCAGCCTCCCAGTCCAGTGCACTCCAGGGTGTAGGGAAGGAGGGGCATGGACAGGGCCAGGGACACAGGCTGTGGGAGCCCACGAACCGGCCGAGATGGGTGGGCTGTGCCACTCTGTGCGCGTGTCCTGAGTCTCCCTGGCCAGAAACGCAGGAGCCTGGGGCCCGAGAGCCACTCCAGTGGATCCCCACGGGGACAGTGACAAGCTGCCTGCCCCGTCCGCCGCCTGAGCCCCCGGGTGGACAGGACATCTGTGTGGGAACAGTAAAGCCAGCAAACGCTCTCTTGAGATTGCCAGGAAACCGGAGGGGAAGCTCGAGAGGCCACGCCACGAGTGAGTCTCGCTGTGTGGATGCTCAACACCCTGGGTTGCGGGGTTGCATCTCCATCCGGGCATCGGACAGGCAGGAGGGAAACCGAGTCTCGGGGGCGGAGGAGGAGACTCCAGCCAGAGGGTACCACCAGGGGTCAGGACAGTGGGGACACCGAGGCCAGACCAAGAGAACAAGGTCACAACAGACCTCCCCATGCCCCTGTGGTCGGGCAGTGAATTCAGACAGTGTGCCGTGCACAATATGTATACTGCCCTGCTTGTTTTCGCTTTGCTTTGTTTTGCTGGAAATCGTAAAATGGGTCCCTGCTTCTCCACAGCCCAGAACACAAGGGAGTTCTGGGCCACAGCCCACAGCCTGCCCTGCAAGCACTTCTCCACCAGGGGGCACGGTGGTCGGGAAACAACAGGACAGAAAGGCCAGGAGGGAGGGGAATTAGGTTCCTAAGGCTAGAGAAACATTCCCAGAGCCCCTCTCCGTGAAAGAAAAACTCGGCCAGGGTGAATGACAGGAAGATGAGGTAGAAATTCCATGGCCGGGCAAGTGCGGATTTGGCAAAGGGGAGGAAAAGAAGGAAACTGTTATGGGAGCCTCACCCTGGGGATCCAGGGCTGGGTTAATGTGGAGATGCCCAGGGGTCCCCAGGACACACTAGCTAGGGGCAAGCCAGGCGAGGACAAGACAGACGGACGAGACAGGGCACAGCTGGCCAGGAGGGCATGCAGCAGATGGTCGGATACAGTGAGTATCAGCACTGAAGCAAAGCTTATTACAGCTCAAGACGCACTGCAGAGAACGTGTGCGTGTGAGTGTGAGTGCGTGTGTCAAGTGAGGGCTGACATTTCAGGCGGAGCAATGGAAATGTCTTTAGCTCCAATACATTCTTAAGCTTAAACATTCACCCTACTTTTAGATTACCCTTGGTAGATCAAATGTTTAGGTCCATTTTAGCCTTCAAAACACCTTATTCACCAGATCTGGCACTGGTGACTTCTGGCTCTTCCCCAAAGTCAAAATGACCCCGAAAGACCATTTTGAATCAACTCAGGACTTTGAGGCAGCCAGGACAGAGCTACTGAAGACACCCAGGAAAGAGCGCCGCAGAGCCACTGCAGAAAGTGTCTAGGATGAGGGGATGAGTGTGTTCAAAGTGAGGGGAGGATTGTGGGGAATGAATAGCAATGTGTCTTTTACTGGAATACTTCCATAAACCTTTAAACAGTCCCTGTATTTTGTGATCACATCTTGTACATATCGGTTCTAGGTCCAATTTGCAGGGTGGAGTTTTCAAGGCTGGAAGACGCTGTGGCGAAACCACGTGGAAACATGAGTTGCAGAGGGGACCTTGGGCCTTTGGAGAAACTGGCCCACGGCGGAGGCCAGCACAGGGACAGAAGACCAGCCAACTCCGGGCCTCAACCGCTGCTCATGAAAAGCATGACTTGCATTTTCTTCTGAGGCATCAGGGACTTAAAAGTGGTTTAGCTAAAATAAAAGTGGCTCCTCGTGGGCCAACAGACGCCCACTGGGTAACTAGGAGCAGCGCGGAGCTCGGCTTCCTCAGTGTGGTTACCCGGCTCACCTGCACAGTGACCCTCCAGGCAGCGTCTGCCTGAAAACTGGAGATGCAGACTGAGCCTCCCTGCCCTCCTCCCCTTCCAGATGAGGCTCCAGGGTGAGAGACTCACAGGGACCCCACCCCAACTGCCGGCTAAGGAGGCCCCAAGTGCCTAGGTCAGGCCAAGCCCCGCCCTGATCCTGGCAGAGCCCTGGGGCGAGCTGAGGTCCCGGCTCGGCTCTGTCAGGGCCGCCCTGGCCCATCCTGGACAGAGCCACGAAGGCCCTGAGGCAGTGGGTCGGGCGAATGGGCAGAGCCACCTGGTGCTGCAGGCCCACGGCACTGGCGCCACACTCCCGTCCACATCGGACCCACGTGGGTGAGCGAGGACTGCCAGGCACAGCGGGACCCAGGCTGCACGACCCTGCATGGCTCGGGTGGCCTGGGCTGTCACCCCTTCCCTCCCCCGCACCCTCCAGACCGCTCCTTCCACAGAGCCACACGGCAGCAGTGCGCGCCCCACTCTCCGGGCAAGGTGCAGCGCCTCCGCTGCACACACCCCTGAAGGCGGCGGGGAGGACGCCACTCCCAGGCCTCCGCCACTCTGGGGGCTCTGGGGTGGACGTGGGGCCCCTCCCTGCCTCCTACAGCCCCACCCATGACAGAGCAAGCAGCAGCACCAGCCGAGCTCAGGGTGAAGACAGAGCTTGGATGCGATGCCAGCTGTCCCGGGACACAGGAGGGGCAGCGCGAGGGCCGCTTTCCTGTTCCTCTCCTCCTCCTTGCCTTACACAAACATGGGGTGCTGCTGGAACCCTGAATCGCCCGAGGACCTGAATCGCTATTGTCCACAGCTGGTGGCCACTCACCGAGCCCCTAGGCCACCGGCTGCTGCCTCCCGGGGCAATGAGGGAAAACATTCAACTAAATATCTGCAATGTTACCCAGGGCAAAGTCCCGCTGCAAACCCGGGCGAGGCACCTCGCCCCTCAGCATAGGCTCCAGCTACTCGGCCACAAGTGCACACCGAGGGCTGACCAGGCAGCACCGGCAGTGACCTGGGACCATCAAGGTCCCACCGCACCCTTGCAGTGACTGTGTGCGTGCCCGGCAGCCGCCTACGAGTGACGGCCGTCTTCTACTAGCGCCCAGCATAGGCCTCATGCTCTATGCCCAGCCAGTCGGGCTCAAAGGCTTAACCTGCCTGCCAGACATCTCCTGGGAGGCTCAGCCCCCACACGCCTCTGAGGACAGCATGCCTGCCTCCCTGGGACCCATCTGCACGTCTGCACTTTGAGGGGCTCCACAAATCCAAAGCTTGAACCCGGGTGTGGGACACAGTAAGAAATAACGCGCAACAAAAACTTTTACATTTTAAGAAAGAAGCGAAGGAAAAAAGCAACGAAGGCAAAATGTTACCTCTTCGTAGACCCCACATCCGGAGATGACAATGTTGGGCCGGAAGTTGGTTGCTGTCACTTTCTTCTCCAGCCTGGAGTTCAGATCAGCCAGGGAGGCCTCAGAAAGGACCAGGAATGGGCTGGAATCCGAGTAGGCAACCTGACAGGGGACAGGCACTGTCACAGGACACGGCATTAAACGCCTCCAGGCACCTGTGTCTAGAACCCTGCACACATGCTCTGCGTCTTTCTGTAGAAAAGTCAGTGCCTGGAACCCTGCCCAGCCTCAGACCTGCACCCAGGGTTGGAGGGAGCCCAGCCTTGGAATCTGAAGCTGCCCAGCACGTGCCCTGGGGGCTATCTTGTCACCTATCCAAGCCTCCAACTGCTCCAGTGCGTAAAAGACTGGCGAGGTTTGATCGCTTTGTTATGTTGAAGTAAAATGTTCACTAATTCCGTCAATAGATACTATTTTTTGTTCAGCCTACAAGCTAATCCCAAGTACTTACCTTGATCATATTTTTTATGGTACTGGGGATTGAACCCAGAACCTTCACACTGAGTTATATCCATAACCCACCTTTATTCATGATTTGGAGGCTAAGCTGCCCAGGCTGGGCTCAAACTTGCGATGTTCCTGCCTCAGCCTCCCAGAGTGCTGGGATGTCAGGTGTGTGCCACCACACCTGCCTTGAACGTAATTTTTTAACAGTAAAAGTAGAGGATGTTGCTACCAACCCTACTGGAAGACAAGCCCCTGCAGTGTCCTTCCTTTGAGAACCAGCCTGGTCACCTGGAGTCCATGTGCCTGCACATACTATCATGCACCACTGTGCTCTGACGTGCACTTGCACATGTGCACACCGTGACCGCCACACAGGTAGGACAGAGTGGAGATGGGTGGAGAACAGCTCTGTACCGCTCCTGGACCAGAATGTACCAGGGTCCCCCAAATCAAGAAGCAGCACGCTGCTCGCTTGGGCAGGGCTTCGCTTGTGACCACTGCCTGGGGAACCACAGCACCAAGTCCATCAGGGATGCCACCGCGTCTGCAGGGCACAGTGACCACGCCCCCCTGCCCACCAGTGACACGCCACTCACCTGGTCCGAGGGCCCAAATGCAGCCCTGATTTGCTGAGAGCTCCGGGGCCGCATCTGGAGCTCAAAGTGCACCAAGCGGTAGGGCTTTGACTGCAGGAAGCTGGTGATCCACTGCGCTGCTGCCTCGCCACAGTCCCGGCCCTGCACCTCCAGGCCATGCACCCTGCAGGTAACAGACACAGTGTGGAACAGCTGAGGACCAGGGCACCTGGCCTGTGTCCTGACCCATTGTCTACAGAGGGCTCCGACACACAGTGTATCCCAAATAGACACAGAAGGGCTGTACCCCTGTGTATCTAGATGTCCCCCCAAAGCCTCATGTGGTCACAGGTGGGGCTTTTCAAAGGGACAGCATCTAGGGTGTGTGATGCTGGGATTAAGGGTCCCCCACCCTGGGTGTGAGTGGATATAAAGGTTGGGTCTAAAGGGACAGAAAGCAGGCAGGCCTGCTGCTGCTGCCGCTCCTGCCTACCCTGCCGTGGACTGTTTCCCCTCTGCGATGCCCTCTGCCACACTGCTCTGCCTTGGAGCCAGTGAACTCTGGGCTGAGACCTCCACAGACTATGAACTGAATAAACCTTTCCTCCTCTAACTTTGGCTGTCCAGTACTTTGTCTCAGCAATGAGAAAAGTAACTAAGACAGAGTCAGCAGAAATCTTTCTTAACAGGCATAGCTCTCCATGGCCAGTGATCCTGAAACAGCAACATATATGAAAATATTCTATAACGAAAAAAACCATTCCAAGGAGCAGTAAGAATCAACTTGGATTTGATCACTATTAATACACTCACCCCGACATACAGCTGTGCGCAGGGCTGCTTAGGGCTCAGTGAGTTGCACAGCTGTGCAGAGGAAGTAAAAGCTATGGCACTGGCCGGACGATCACGTGGGGCCCAAAGCACCTCCACAGGGCCCCTGGGAACAACATTAAATAATGGTGCCCTGCATGAGGACAAAGTGATTCTCTCCAGCGGGGGGATAATTAGTCTTTTATTCTTTTTTTCTTTTTGCGCATCTCTTATATCGCCCATGCTGGTCTTGAACTCATGACTGCCTTGCCTCAGTCTCCCAAGTGCTGGGATCAGAGGAGTGCATCCCGTGTCTGACAAACAACGCAGTAGCATCGGAAAATCACTCCCTGTCACAAAGAGCAGACTCAAATCCGCGACTTCCTCAGGCCATACTTTCAAGCTAGAATTTGGAAACATTTCACATGGTCCATACTTGCTTCAGTTGCCTGCTACACCTGGAAGATCACATAGGTGGCCAGGAAAAGCTTCCTTTGGGAATAAATGTGTCCAAGATGTTGTCAAAGTTGGATCGATTTAAAGAAAACCACTGAGTGAGGAGGGGTGTGGGGAGTTTATGTGTGGCCTATGATTCCTAGAAGGCTTCCAGGCAGGCCCTGCGGCTGAGCAAAGGGCTTTGGCACCCAGCACAGCGCCCCTGGGCTGCACGACATCCTCACTGGGGCTGCTGCACTGGCTGCAGATGTTTTTCCTACTTCAGGACTTCCTTTCATTAGGTTAAACATCACCCTTCTAGTGTGCTACCATGCCATCCTCCGCCATTTACAACCCCTTTCTGAACTCAGAGTCAGGAGAATTCAGCTTTCCCAAGTGAAACAGGGAAAGTCTATGACAGTGCGTAGACCTCATCCATTTCCAGATGCTGTGCCTGCCACCCCACCCCATTCTGGCCCCTGACCCTGTGTGACAGTGACTTTCTCTTGCTGACCTGACCATTTGCTTTTGCTCTGTGTGTGTGTGGTTTTTTTGAGACAGGGTCCTGCTGTGTAGCCCAGGCTGGCCCTGAACTCCCTACAATCCCGCTGACTCTGCCTCTGAGTGTCGGGTTTGCAGATGTGCACCACCACGCCGGCTTCCACCTGGGCCTTTCATATCCTTTATCCTAACACAGACTGGGAAACTGCTTCCTGCTGCGTCCTCACAGTGCTGGGCAGAGTCCTGCACGGGGTGCATCCAGACCATGGCAAGGATCCGTGATGCTCCTGTAGGATCCCCACAGGGTCCCAGCTCCCCACCGCCTGGCGTCTGTGTCCCCTGCCTTCCTCACCTGCACGTGCGCACCGGGTTGGTAGTGGGTGTTTTGATGGGCAGCAGCAGGTCCTGGCTGTAGGCTGCACTGAGAGTCAGGGTGTCGTCTTCACAGGTCGGAGAAATCAGGACCATGCGAGGCTCCTGTCGAGCGGTCACCATGTTCTCCTCCTCGTTGATCACAAGCCAAAACCTGACAATTTCCAAACAGGAGGTGTGTGGGTCACCCCGACCCAGGCAGCCTATCATCACACGCAGTGGTCTCTAATGTCCTCTCTGGAAGCCCTGTGTGTCTGTCTGTCTGTCTGTCTGTGTGACAAAGTTCAACACGGTAGCAGGCAAGACTGACTCTGCCAGAACCTTTCAAAGGGATGAACCCAACATGATTCACATCCACGCAGCGCGTGTGTGAAGATGAAAATGGATGATGAGACACGGGGAGGGAGGATTTCTGCAGATGGGAGCAGAGTCCAGGGGTGGAGGGGGCAAGAGGAAGGGAAAAGGGTTAAGACGTGTGTGTCTGTGCACCGGCTCCCACACCAGGGCATTTATTATGCACCACAAACTCGGACAAATAAGAATGTTTTAAAATGGGTAATGGGTAGTAAAATGCAGCTGGACTGCAGTAATAGTTCTACCATCCTATAGCGGGGAGGGGGGGGAATGGTCATTCACAATAACTGTGTAGATTTTATGACTATCAGGAAGAAAGGAGCTTGAAGGCTCAAAACACAAATTAATGATCAGTCAGTGACCCTGATTTCATCAGTACACGTTGTATATATGTACTGAAACATCACAGTGAACTGCATAAACACAATTATTACATGCTAATCAAAAAAATGTTTAAACTGCTTAAGGAGATGGAAATGTTAACTACTCTGACTTGGTCATTACACACTTGTACATATATACTGACTCATCATCACCTGGTAAATTAAAATAATCAATACAAAATTTTAAATGAAGAAATAAAAATGAAAAAAGTTTTATTTTCATCTTGTTTGTCGGGAAGCTTGATTGCATCATTAAACATGCCTCAGCGGATGAGAAGAATCTAGTTCACAAGGATGCCTGTGGGGCCAAGGGCAGGAGGAAGCTGGTGACCAAGGAGCCAGCAGGGAATGGACTCTGGGTGACAGAAACCCAAACTCCCTGCCTGGTGCTGTCTGCAGACCGCAGGGCTCAGACACGCACTCCCTGGTACCTCACACCTGGCCAAGCCCACCCCCACCTTTTAGAAACATTGTATGTTTCAATACAGTTACAATGTTTCAATATTCAGTGGTGTGAATTCTGCAATTTGCTAACAGGTCTACTGTCAATCTGGCCAATATTTTTTTCCAGCTGGTATTCCTGGACTTAGCGGAGCTTTCTAGAAAACAATAAATGGAGAAATAAGAGCAACAGAAAGAAGTGTTTCCAGAAAAAGAACATGTTGGTTCGGGTGACCTCTCAGGCTCCCCAGGAAGTGACACACTAGGGCATTTTGGTTCAATCACATGGTAACCATTATAGAACTGGGCCTGTGCTTTGGGACCCCCACACATGAAAGGAAACAGGAAATACTTCAGGTCATCAAAGATCTGTCTTCCCTGCCTGAGGCAGGTTATTCTGACTAAATTACTCAGCCAGGCTAGGAAGTGAGGTTAGGAGCCTCTCCCTCCCTGCCCCTCGTCCTATACCCACAGCCCTGCCTGGCCTCAAGTCCTTGACAGAGTTCAGTAAGTATCCTTTCTCCAATTCTTCCTGGCAAGAACAGCTGCTTGCTCTGCCTAAAAAGCAAATCTGATCTCAATGTCCCTCATTCAAAATCCCTCCGTGGCTGCTAGTTTTCCATCAAACCCTAACCACCAAGCCAGGCACTTGGGGTCCAAAATCCAGCAGCTTCCCAGCAGGCTAGCACATTTTAACATCTACTTTAACTCCAATAAAATGTATACGCATAAAATACCTGGCCTTTCCCTCGGTATGGACCAAGTAACTGAAAACAGACTCACAGACGCTGCTCTGACCTTCCCTGCTGTGTCATCCAGTGTCACTGGGGGTTACAGCCCAAGTGTCCCTCAGCAGGGGGTGGATTTGTTTTTGACCTGAGATTTTAACCCTTTCACCGGTCTGACCACCCTGAAGGACGCAGCTCAGCGGCAGCAGGTACAACCACAGTGTTGTGGGACCACCAGCCCTGCCTATTTCCTAAACCTTTGCATCACCCAAACAAACCCTGGACCCTGAAGCAGTCACTGTTCAAGCCCCCCTCCCCAAGTTAGCTGTGATCCACTCTGTCCCCGGTACATCGCCTGCTGTGCATATTTCCTATCAAGGGGGCCGGCCTCCCCACGTTAGCGCCTTTCTTCCTGCAACCCCCTCGCTGCACCAGACCCCGGTCCCTGTTCACGCTGAGTGATGCCCAGCCGTGCAGGGCAGTGCTGTTGCCCACTCGCGGCTGATGGTGCCCGGCTGCTTGCACTCTCTGGCTGCACTAAGCACTGCCCAGGGCACTGGCCGGTGTGGCTCGGGGTACAGACTAAGAAATCTGCATACAGCGCTGGGCATGGTGGCACACCTGTAATCACAGCACTGTGGGAGGCTGAGGCAGGTGGGTGGAAAGTTCAAGGTCAGTGTGGACCTTGACTTAGGACTAAGGGAGAGCCCGCCTCCAAATACAAAGAGGGCTGAGGATGGAGCTTGCATTGAGGGCCTTGGGTTCGATCCTCGGTACAAAAGGAAGTTAGGAGAGAAGGAAGGGAGCGAGGGAGGGAGGCGGCGAGAGACAGTTACCGCGCCCATCTCCAGGCTGGAAGGCACCCGCCCAGGTGTCCCGGGTGTCCCAGGGCCGCCTACCTGTCGCATAGCTGCCCCACGCGCAGCCCCAGCGCCGTCACCTCGGCCTCGGGCACCGCCACCCCCTTGCAGGACTTGATCGGGTAGACCCAGAGCTGCGCCACGGTGCCCACCGGCTGCCGTCGCCAGCCTCGCCGGGGCCGCGCGCGCCAGGCCACCGCCCCCAGCGCCGCCGCCGCCAGCCCCAGAGCGGCGACGCCGAGCCACGCGGGCCCGGCGGGCGCGGGGAGGCCGAGGCGGGAGAGCGCGCGGGAGCCTGCAGCGCCCATGGCGGCCAAGCGGACACTGCGGCGGGACGGGCGGAGCTGGCGCGGGACGGGGCCGTCCTCCCTCCCGGCCAATCACAGCCCCGCTTGCCGCCCCGCCCAGCACCGCCGCGAGCCACAGTGCCGTGGGCCGGGGCTGGGAGCGAGTGCAGGGCAGAGCCCGGGGCGGGGCCATCGCCCAGGGGCGGGGCCGGGAGGAGACGACGGGGAGGGGGGGCGGCCCCGAAGCAGTGGGGAGGTCACCAGGACTAGGCGGGCCCTGCAGCCGTGGGCTCAGACCCGCTACTTCCTAAAGAGGACTTTAGCCAGGTGTGGTGGCGCACGCGTGCTCCCAGCACTCCTGGAGGCTGAGGCAGGAGGATTGCAATTTTGAGCCCAATCCGGGCAACTTTCCAACCTGTCTCAAAGTCCAAAATAAAAAAGGCTGGGGGTGCAGCTCAGTGTGAAGACCCTGGGTTCGAGCCCAGTACTACACGCACGCGCACACACACACACACACACACACACACACACACAGGCCTTATTTTAGACAAAAAAGCCACCACCCTCGGAATGGTTTCGGGGCTCAGCCTCCTGTTGGCTGAGCTCCGCGCTTGCTGAAATGCTGGGGACTTTTGTGCCAGGCCCCGGCTTAATCCCAGCGTGCAAGAAGCGAAGAAAGACGATCTCCATCGCGGAAGCTGCGCTCCACCCCGAGTTAAGGCAGAGGCAGGGGGGACTGGAGCCAAGGATCGGGCTGGAGGACTCGGCCAGGGACTCAGGGGGTATCCCCGGCAGGGCGCCACTGAGCAGACATGGGGTGCTGGGGTGACCAGCTGTCACGGGTAGGGTCCTCACCCACCTCTGGCTCTGGGGGCCTCGTGGGGGTGGGGCCGGGGGTGGGACGGACCAGGAGTCGGAGGACTGCCCGGCAGGAGGAGGCACCGGGGGTCAGGGCTCGAGGGTCCTCCGAGCGCTGGGACCCTCTTTCCCTGGCCTCTAGCTCACCCCCTGCCCAGCTCACCCGGACCTCGCTGAGCGTTCTTCCAGCACAGGTGGGCAGGCCGAGACAGGCTCCTCTCCCTCTCCCCACCCTGGGGTGCTGGGCCCAGGCCTCCACAGAAGGCGGACGAGTAAGGGCCAGGCAGGCTCACCACTGGGCCGCGTTTGAGTTCTGGGTCCCTGCAGCCCCAAGAGCTAGTGTTTCTCTGAGTCCCATCCCTCGCTGCTCTTGGAAAGGGGAAAATGGCTTTCAAGGCACATGAATTTCCTGGTCCTCACCTCCGCGATTCACCCAACACGCTGTCACCTGCCAGCGTCCCCTCCCAGGGTGCTGCGGGAAGGGGGAGCCGCTGCCCCACCAGGAGTCTCCTCCAAGCCAGCCACTCCTCTCCGCCTGTGGCTGTGTCCCCAGCTTGGTCCCCAGTAGTGAGTGACAGGAGCCCCAGGACGCCCGGAGGCGGGAATAGCAACAGCAGAGACCAAGCAGAGCTGAGACCAATGTTTATTAAAAACAAAGAAACCACAGAGTGAGCAGCAGGTTAATCCAGTCATTATTAGTGCAGCTCGGATATTTGCTTAAGCATTTGAAAACAGTTCCTTTCTCTTATTAACGCACCTAACAATACGCTCATGCTTTCCTGCTTCCCTTCCTTTCTCCAAATTCCATTCTTTGCTTTTCTTGCTTGGAATTCCAGATGATATGTCAACAGACACAAATCATTCTGAATGAGTTAACAGAGGCAAAAATCAAATACAAAAGCGTCTACAAAGTAACGCCCACCTTCACGCACAACCCTGATTCCAAAATGCAGGGAAGTAGGGCTCCTCGGCCAGGCCGGGACCCTGGGCATTTGTGAGCCTGTTAACATGTAAAGCATGGGACTTGCTGTTTCCCCTTTTTCTTAAAACAAGGAACAATGGCAGATAAAGCGTACATATGTAATTTTAAAATTGCAGCTTTTAGCTAACTCTTTAACCTTTACTCACCAGTATAAAATCAAGGATTGGAACAATGTAACAGCTCTGATAAAATTCACAATAATCTTATAGATAATTTTGTTGATCTAAAACCCCTTTATTATCAAAATGTATATATCTTCAAATCCCAAATCACCTCAGATTCTTCACTTGCGTTAATTTGGAGCATGCGTAACTTTGCAGAAACAGAAATTGAGACTTGCTCCAGGGCAAAGTCGACCCCAGGTGGACTTGGCACAGCGTTCTCCCAGCTCGGTGAAATCTTCAAAATCTTCGTCAGTGCCTCCTGGATGCTAAGAGCCAAAGGAATGATAAGAATCTCTGATAGTGCACTAGTCATAAATAATCCCAACATGCACAAAACATCCCCTCATGAAGTTAATCTGCAGGCGGAGTAAACTTGGTACCACCCGATTACTGGGCAGAAAGGTGGAAAGGCGCAGCCCGGTCCTCCTCCCAGGGGCAGCTCTGGAGCGGTGGTGCCCCTGGGTCAGGTGGGTCAGGTGTTGGGCGCGGTCCCCAGGATGACAGTGTGACACCTCCACCTGGTGGGCAGTGGTCAGTGTGCCTCAGAAGGCATGGAGGTCACTCCTGGGACCCCACGTGTCCCCCCTGGAGGGAGCTGTTACAAAGGGTGAGCTGGCCCCACTGTCCAGCCCCCATCCCAGACCGCCATGCTTCACCATGAGGTTGTCCACGGGCGGCCATGTGGGCCCCTGCCAGAGGCCACACTGAGAAGACCTGCATCTTTGGCCTTAAGCCTCCCAAGCGCGGAGCTAAGTGAACCTCTCTGTTACGCAGCATCGGGCACTGGTTACAACCACAGGAAATGGGCTCAGGCACACAGTGCAAATACACGGCCACTTCAAACACACTTGGCCAGCATGCTACAAAGGGGGTCTTTACCCCACGTCAATAATTCTGCTTTCACCCAGGAGGCTGAGGTGAGAGCTTGGAGAATTCGAGGCCTATCTCAAAGAGTTGAGATCCTATCTAAAAAAAAAAAAAAAAAAAAAAAAAGTCTGCTTTTAGTAATCTAACTTACCCATAAATCCTTTAATTTTAAAATACTCTGCCTAGAAGGGCTGGGGATGCAGCTCAGTGGCACCGCTCCTGCCTTGCAAGCACAAGGTCCTGAGTTCCATCCCCAGTACAAAAAAAATATATACTATGCCTAGAAAGCCATCCACTACTGCCTACTGTTATTTATAACAGAATTGGATAATCTAAGTATCAAAAACCGAAAAAATTGTGTTTAACGAGTCTCATACATGTATACAATGTAATGTTATAAGCCATCAAAAATGACATCTGAATAGACCGGAGAGCTATGAAAGATGTACACACACATATGTATATGTATCATGTGATGTATATGTGCATCACAGCTACTCTAAAAAACAAAAACTCCTACTCAAAATTTATGAAAAGTAACAATGGGTGATTTCTTTCTTCTACTTTTCTGATATTTTCTAAATACCAGAAAGCCATGGCGAACTTGTGTTGCCTTTATAATAAAACAAAAACTTTTACACACTTAAATTTTGAGTTGATCAATAAGCAGCTCAGGGACTGGGTGTCAGTATGACCTGCGTTTGCTTCCAGGGCTTTGGTCTGTCCTTTAACCTGTCCCACAGGGATCCTCCCCTCCCCGTCTAGCAGGGGGCATAGCTGGGCAGCAGGCTGTGTGTTTCCAAGTGCACAGCCCCACACTGGAGGATGAGCAGGGACAGGATCCACATGTCTCACACTGGGCCTGCACTGCCCTGAAGGGTGGGTGCCCAGGTGGGAGGAAACTGTGGGTGTGGCTGTGTCCAGATGTCCCCCCAAAGCCTCATGTGGTCACAGGTGGAGCTTTTCAGAGCTGGCTGGATCTTCAGTGTGTGATGCTGGGATCAAGGGTGTGTAATTACTAAATTGGTCCACTGATTGGTTTGGCAAAGCTCTGGGTAGGACTAAGGGTGCCCCACCCTGGGTATGAGTGCTACCCGCCCTAAGGGTGGGTGGGCTGGATGGAATACAAGGGACTGAAAGAGGGCTGCTGTGGTCACTTCCTGCTTCCTGCCTGCCCTGCCATGAGCTGTTTCTCCTCCGCAATGTCCCTCTGCCACACCGCCCTGCCTTGGAGACAGCCCACTGTGAGCTGAAACCGCCACAAAATGTCAACTAAATGAGCCTTTTCCCCTTTAACTTTGGGTGTCAGGTATTTTGTCTCAGCAACAAGAAAAGTAGCAGACAGTAGGGCTCAGGCAGCGAGAGAGGAGGGTGTGTAGGGCTTTGGAGACGAGTGACTTCCGGATCTGGTCACAGATGCTAAGAGGAGCTGCTCAGAAACCTTGGCTGGCCGCTCCCAACTGCCTTTCTGGTCCTGGCTGCACTGGAGGGCCAGGCAAATGCCCCCAGGGCTCAGAGTTTTCTTTGGCTCAGCGAGATCAATGTGAGAACATTATTTCTACCCCACGATTCAGGATCTCCTCACCTTCATGTACTGACTTTTTTCAAATTTAAATTACATTTTAAAATACACTTGATAAAAGCATTTGACTTAAAAATTCCTCCCAAGTTGATTTTGAACAATTGAGACACTTCTCCCTTTCTATCTGAGCCAGAAGGACGTCTCCCAATTCCTGAGACCAGTGCAACTCCGAATGTCTTCGCACAAGAAACTGGGCAGTGGCGCCCACACTCTGAGCTCCAGGAGCAGAACTGACCTCTCTGAATGTCACCCCAGCGGCCCATCAGTCCACCAGCTGGTACACGGGGTCCCCAACTCTCAGGACTCCAATCTTTTCCACCATAAAATAGACCCCAAAAAGCGGGGACGACTGGTACAAATGCTTCACAGAGGGGTCACACAGGCGGTAGCTGGAAAACATGAAAAGTTATCATCAACCGCAAAAGCAAAACAGTAGCCTACATGTTCCCCGCGGACTCCAAGCTTCCCTTCCCATTATAAAATCCGGCCCTGTTGTGCAGTGTTGCCGAAGTCACAGGCGATTGGTCACACTCTAAGCCGTCCTAGTTTTTCTAGATAGACCCTGAGAGTCGGAACAAGTTTTCCATGGTTTCAATTTGAAGCTGGAAGGGAAAAGCCAACTACGAGTACCACAGAAACACCTGTGACACGGGGCACCTCGGACTTTGAAACTCACAATGCACCTTCCAGAGCTGCTCACCGTGCTGGCTGGCACATTGCAGCCCTGGATTTACACCTTCCATTCCCCCAGGCTAGTGGGTCAGGCTATTGCCAAAGTTACCCTCTCCAAGGCTTATTTGAGAAAAATAAAATTAACATCACTGCATTTTTAAAAACAAAGAACAGGGGCCGGGGATTTAGCTCAGTGGTTTCGCCACCTGCTGTGCAAGCGCAAAGACCCGAGTTCAATCCCCGGTACCAAAAACAAAACAAAAAAACAAAAACAAAAAAATCTTAATATTACTACCGGGGATTTAGCTCAGTGGTTCCTCCTCCTGCCTAGCAAGCACAAGGTCCCAAGTTCGATCCCCAGTACCAAAAAAACAAAAACAAACAAACACACAAAAAACAAAGAACAAAACCAAAATAGAACTATAAGTCTGGAGGCTTCCATGGATAACTTTTGCTCTAACCTAAAATCACTGGAGACCAATAACAAAACACAGAAAAGGGGAACAAAACAGAATACAGCCCCCCAAATTTTTTTTGTTTTGCAGTAATGAGGAGGGAAGCTGGGGTCCGCGCATGCTGAGCAGGCACAGCCACTAGGTCTGCAGACACATTCTGCATGGAGAGTTCATCACCAAGCTCCTGCAAACGATGAAGGAAAAATTCTGGCACGAAAGAAACTCCTGGGTATACGAACTCTAACAACCCATCCCGTTCCATCTTCTCTAATAGTTCACCATGCAATTTCAGTTATTCTCCTATCCCTTGATGTGGGTTCTAATAAAAGCATTTGAATTATAATAAACATAATCAAATAAGAATTTGACGCCTTCATTTAGAAATGCATATGTAAATGTTACCAAAAGTTGGTAGTAAAGTTTCAAAGTGGAGTATTATACAGACAAAAATGTATCAGCCCGGCATAGTGGCACACACCTGGGAGGCTGAGATAGGAGGATCACAAGTTCAAGCCCAACCTGGGCAACTTAACAACTTAGCAAGACTCTGTCTCAAAATTTAAATAAAAGTGTGTAGAGAGGTAGGGATGTAGCTAAGCGTGAAGGCCCTGGCTTCCACCCCCAGCACTGGAAGGAAGGAAGGAAAGCAGGCAGGCATTACAAGCTCCAGAGGGTTCTCCCAGTCCAGTGCTCAGCTATATGAACTCGGGGAGGCCCTGCCTAGTTATGGGGCCCTCAGCACCCGCGGCGCCTGACCCGCGCAGACCGTGTGAGAATCCCAGGCCCCTGTGTCGTCTGACCTCTTCAGGGTCTGCAGTGGCTCCTTCCGGTCGAGGATGCCCGTGTCAGGGTCCACAGTGGTCAAGATGCACCTGTCACACAGGCACCAGTGTCAGGCAAGGGGAGGCTGAAGCCATGCGCCCCGGGCTGAGGTAGGAGGTGCGCTTACCTGGGGCACGACATGACCCTCTTCAACTCCACGTCCCCAATGACCAGGTCTTCCCAGGTATCCTAGGCGGAGGGCGGGGTCAGTGGTCAGGCTTCCTGGGCTGCGACAGTCACTGCGCCCTGGTTCTGACTGTCAGAGCAGCAAGGGAAAGAGCCCGACACCACGAGCACCTCCAGGAGCCCGAGGGGCGGCCTCGGCCTGGTCTCCTCCTCATCCCTGGGCGCCAAGACCCAGGCCTGCCGGGCCAGCACTCCAGCCCCGAGCTCCAGCCAGGCCCGGGTCCCCACGCACAAGGAGGGAACTGGGCCGGCAGCGGGCACGCCTGGGCCACCGCAGGGCTCTGGTTCCCTCCCACGGAGAAGGGGGCGTAAAGGGGACCCCACTCACTTCAGCCCAAGGAACAGGCTTGGGGTAACAACACTTTCTTAGGGTCCCACCCGGAAGCGGCGGGACAGTGGGGCTGAAAATCTCCCGATTCTGAAGGACCTCATCCACACTCCTCGCCTTCAGCACAGACACACACAGAGGCCGTCACACAGACCAGACAGACAGACACCCGCACACGCACGCGCAAAATGCACACCGCATGGACGCACTCACTGCACACACACGCGCACACTCGTGCCCGAAGTTACTGAATGGTGCTGCAGAGGATGCCCTGGGTTCCCAAGCACCCTTCGGAAGATGCTTCGGGGTGGAATCACTCCAGCTTCCCGGCGGCCAGCGGGCGGCTGACCTCTGTCACCTCTGCAGAAGCCAAGGACACCCGTGCAGCCACTACGATCACCACGCCAGCGGCCAAAGTGCAAGGCAGCCAGGGGGAGTGGCGGACTTCCTGGGACTGCGACCTCGGGAGATGGCGGAAGGGGACGAGGTGTTCTGGGCTGAAGCAGGGTGCGGCCGGGCGCTGCCATGCCACGGGGAGCCTCAGCTACAGGCCTGGAGCATCCGCAGCAGGGCTTGCTCTGTGCTTCCTCCAGCCCTTCCCAGGGAGACGGCTGGACACTCCGAAGCCCCCTGCCTGTGGGATTGCTGCACAGCGCCCACGGCAGGAAGCAGGTTCCCAGCTCAACAGTGAGACTCGGGTCCCTGCGGCCACACTGTGGGACCACAGTGGGAGCTGCCTGCTCCCAAGCTGCATCCGGCACCCAACCTCAGCCCCGGCCACATCCCAGAACACTACCCACTGCGCATAGCAACGGTGCCCATCCTCATCTGATCACTGTCCACATTCTGGTAAAAAGCATTATTTTCAGGGGAAAGAAATCTAAGCTAATTAAGCAAAATTATTGATTTAGTTCTTAGAGAAAATAATAAATTTTAAATCACTGAAAAATTAAACCACGTAAGAACTTAAAATTTCCCTTATATTCTGTTAGATGCACACACAACTCAGTGAGACAGTGAGACACACCTCCAGCTAGACCCCAGGGCATGCCCAGACACGAGCAGGACTGGGCACTGGCCTCATGGCGGAAGCCTGGGGACAGGGAACTGTGGCCTCCCACCCTGGGCTGCTCCCCTGAAAGACCAACGAGGGCCTCCCTCAGAGGCTGGGGCTTTTCCTAGACGGACAAACACACACACACACACACACACACACACACACACACACACACACACCCTGCACAGCGCCCAGACACTCTCCAATGGAAGCATCTGGTGCACAGCCAGCAAAGCTCACTGCATCTCTGCTATGCTCTGTCACACTCAGCACCCTGCTGCAGGCTCCATGGGGTGACTCCCTTATCCAGGGACCACTCTGGGAGGCTGAGGCAGGAGGGTGACAAGTTCCAGCCCAGCCTGGGCAACTTAGTAACTTGTAAGACGCTGTCAAAAAGGGCTGGGGATGCAGCTCCCTGTGAAAGCCCTGGTTCAATCCCCAATACTGGAAAGGAAGGAAGGAGGGAGCGAGGGAGGGAGGCCCTCTCCGTGAGGGCAGGGGCCTCACCCTCCAGTTCTGCCTCCCCACACCTGAGTGTCCCCCTGGCAAGTGTTCACGGGCAAGAAGGCAGGGAACGGATGTCCCTGAGCTCGGTCACCAAGCGCCCCAGGCCCCTTCTTGGTTCCTTCACGAATCCAGAAAGGAAAATGGCTTTCAGGTCCTTGCCACTGGCTTGAACAGCCAATAAACGAGGGACCCTCTCCTTCCTCCAGGGGGCAGCAGAGAGCGCGCCCTCTGCACCCTGGCCACGCAGGGAGGGCCTGGTGGCACTGCTGAGCCCAAGGGCTCCCGGAGCCACTGGAGCTGTGCCACCTCGGACAGGCTGCTCCACCCCGTGAGCCGGCTTCTCCCCCCGAAGCAGGAGTGGAACTTTCTGCCTCCCCGGCTGGCGACTGTTTTCCCCATGTGAGGACCATGCTTGACCGTGCTCTACATCGAGTCACTCTGGGATCTTTTACTAGTCTGTTCTTGCAAATAAAGGTTGTGCCTGCTGCACTGCAGTGACAGGGCTGGCTCTGCCTGGGAGGCCCAGCCAGCCAGGACGCGCGGCAGGGGGGACACACGGGAGGGTGGCCGTGCCCGTGTCTGCTCTGGGCCGTCGCTGCTGCTCCTCCAGAGCCCCTGCAGCCGGAAAACCCTGGCCGTGAGGAATCGCCCACTCCAGCAGCGAGAACAAAGGGACAGAGCGGTCCCCTGGGCGCCAGGGCGGGCCTCAGAGCCTGCAGAGGCTTCCGGAAAAAGCACTTCCCACATGGCACACGGCACAGCCCTGCCGCTGCTCAGCGTCGGCCACGGCCGAGGACCAGGGTGGCGACCCGGCCAGCTGCACAGGCTCCGCACCCCGAGCTCACACCCGGACCCACCTGCCCCCAGGTCTCCTCTGTGCCCTGAGTTCCACGAGAAGGTGCAAAACCTGTGGCTATGAGCGACCTCGCACGGTGGCCCCGCCCTGGGACTCCACACCTGGGAACAGCAGTGGCCCGGGCCGCATGCCAAGCTAACGTTTGCAGGTTTTTATCATGAGTTGCTCTGTTAAACATGTATGCGCAGTATCGCTTGGCATTCATACCTAACACAGCCCACTAACTGACAGGGTGATGCTTTGGTGGTGGCACCAAGTACACAGACTACTGCATCACGCCCTGAGCCACCGGGCCTCCTCAGTAAGGCACAATAAATCAGCAACACTAACATCATTTGCACAGGGAGTGGAAGGCATTCTTTTTTCTCTGGTACCGGGGATGGAACTCAGGACCTTGCACTTTCGAGGCAGGCGCAGTGCCACTGAGCTACATCCCTGGCAGGGGTTCTTTATTTTTGACGTGCACTGCCGGAGGACTTTCCAGAAAACTCGGAGTGTCCTATCTTATTTACTGTTTCCAGAGGCCCATCACAAGGCAGGAGTAACATGTTTCACGGTATGCCTTTGAAACCGCACCTTCAAACGGCCCGAGAACAGGCTTGGACTTACGCAACCTTACTAAGTGTCACAAGGCACAGGAGATCAGAAATTCTGCAGCCAGGGCTGGCAGCTCAAGATCTTACACAGAAATTAGTGCCCCGACAGTTTACCCTTCTGTGGAGACAAATCCAGGGAAATGTTATTCCCTGAAAGAAAGTTGCTGAGAAAATAACAAACAAATGACTAGAATCCCGGGTAAGAACTGCTGCTTCCGTCCAGATTAGTTTCCAGTCTGGCCTCAGAGAGAGCGTTTTCCCCGGAGCAGCACGGGGTGCAGGGGCTGCGTTCTCACTGTGCCGCTCTGGACATCTCGGGCGGGAGCCCGGGGAACCAGGCAGGCTTACAGGTGCCTGGGCCCCGCGTCTGCTCGGGATCCCGAGGCCCTGCATGTTAATTTCATTTGTTCCTTCCTTTGTCATGACATGGGCCCCAAACAGCAGATACTCCAGTCTGAGCTTCTCCCTGGGGAGAGAGCTGACACCCGCAGACAAGGGGCTCCCCGCGCAGGGCCCCTGCTCACCCCGGCTTGGGGTCCCTCCAGGCCTCAGCCCGGCCACTTACCTCCTCGAAGGCGTCGCAGCCGCCCACCACGATGTTGGGCCGGAAGTGCTCCATCTTCACCTTCTTCCCCAGCCGGGTGTTCAGGTCCACCAGCGAGGCCTCGGTGTGCAGCAGGACCGGGCTGGCATCGGGATAGGGCACCTGGGCCATGGACAGCGCAGTCGGGCCAGGCACGCAGGGGTGGCGCAGGCCCCCATCACAGGAGAGTGGGGTGTTCACAGCGGAGCCCCCACTGCCTGTCCACACCCCGCTGTCCACCATGCCCACAGCAGGGCCCGGGCTGGCTCTGGGCTGGGATCGCTCGCCTCGCCTCCTCTGCCCGGTCTCTGGCTGCCATGCAGGGAAGCAGCCCTTTCTTTCCTCCTCCTCCTCCTTACAGGGAAGGGGCTGCCTCCAACAGCTACACTCTGGTTAGGATTTCTTCAGGGCCACTATTTTCTCAGCAAGCATTTATTGGGCACCTTCAGGTAGCAGGCCCTGTTCCGGGGAACAGCGCAAACGGCGCAGGCAGGCCTGACACCACCCTTGCCCTCGTAGGGTTGTAGCCCAGGGCTATGCATGGGGAGCGACCCCAGCACCTGCACTTTAAGGCCCGGCTAGCGGCTAGGCTAGCGGAGGGCTGCTCTCCGGGGAGGCCCCTGCGGGAGACTGCACACCTCTGCCCCGCTCCCCACTATCCTGCTCCAGCGGGCTCGTCCCACCCCGTGCCCCAGGAGGCCCCGCTCCCCCCCACCACACACAGTGCCCGTCTGTCCCCCACTCCTCTCCGTCCTGGGAGTCCCCAACCGATCTGCCCCGAAGGACCATGCTCCTGACCCGGGTGGGCGAGTTCCCGGCTGTGGGCAGGGGAGGAAGCCCAGGTGCGGGCAGGCTGGAGGCCACCCTGCGACTCACCTGGTACCCTAAATCCTTCACTTGGGGGAAGATCTCCTTGGACGTCCGCCCCTTCATGCTGGTCTCAAACTGCACCAGCCTGTAGGCTTCCGACTTCAGGAAGCTGCTGAACCACTGGGCCACCTCGTCGCCACAATCCCTGCCTTTGATGTCGAGGCCAAACAGCCTGTGAGGGCCAGAGGAGAGCAGGTCCCGGACATCAGGGTGCAGGGCCACCGGGACAGACATGGCGCAAGGCCGTGACGTGTCCGGCAGGGTGGCAGAGGCGAGGTTGCGGTGGGTGCCGGAGCGGGACTCAGCCCCAGTGCACGTGGACCCCGGGCCTCCTTCACAGGCAGACTCGGTCCCATGCATCTGGGCTGAGGCCTGGGAGCCGAGATCACTCACTCCCTCGGCCCACCGCCTGCCTGGCCCTGGCTCAGCTGTGCAGTCTCCAGGCTCTCCCGGTGCGGCAGGCTGGAAGGCCCCAACTTGGATAAAAGAAAGCGCTCGAACCCACCAGTGCTTAGATGAACCCTGTTTCTGCCTCACTGGCATCGGGTGCCCAGCTGATGCTGAAGGCACTGCCCTCCCAGGACACGAGTGGCCAGGGAGCACAGTCAGCCACCTGCAGCCTGACGCTTGGGTCAGTGCCACCCACTGCCCCCTTCAGTGAACTGTACAGCCGGGCCACCATTCCCACGCCCAGTGGCCCCGGGGGAGGGACTGCCCCAGATGTCCAGGGACAACCTCTGTGCCCCACACCCACCAAAGTCACTCAAACAGGCCAGGCCGAGCCTGCCCACCTGCCCAGCCTCCTCCTCCCCTTGCTCCCTCTGCCTCCTGAGCAGCCTGGGTGCTCCTGGGTGGCCCCAGGCCTCCCGTTCTGGGGAGTCATCAGCAGAAGTAATTTCTGTCTTCAGTGTGCAGACGAGGATTGGTCCTGGGCACCCCGAGACAACACTGCACCCCCCCCCCCCGCACTGCCCCAGCACAGCCTTCCTCACACACACTCCTGGTACCCATTCCTCCTCGGCTGCTCACTCTGGAAGTGCCGGAGCCCAGGAGAATTGGGGCCCCCGGGCCCACCCACCTGCAATCAAGGAGCTTGTTTGAAGAAGGCAGCTTGTAGGGCAGCGCCAGCTGGTCCATGCCAGGTGCCCTGAGCACCAGGAAGCCGTCCTCCGAGGTGATGGAGACCAGGACGAGGCGCGGCTCCTGCCGGGCAGTAACCATGTGTCCGTCCTCCTTCACCACCATCCAAAACCTGCAGGGCACAGGCCCAGCACGTCAGAGACCCCTCCCTGAGGGCTTCCCCCAACCCTCGCCTCACCTACCCTGGGGCCCAGCAACTGCCCTCCCTGGGTGTCCACCCAGGTCTGCCTGATTCTTTGGGTCTAAAGTTGCTGTCCCCAGAAGGCACTTGCTTAATGGCCCCAGGAGAGAGCCTCTGCCCGATGCCCAAACGGGTCCAGGTTCAAACACCAGCCACCAAGGTGGGCGTGGCCCCTGCCTGCCTCAGGCACCCGGGCTGCTTATCTGGCAGCTCCGAGTTGCTCAGAAGCCCCAGGCCTCTCACACACTCCTCTGAGCTGAGGAGCAGCAGAAAACAGGATATGGGGGACCAAAATCACTGCCCAAGGGGCAGAACCTCCTGCGTTGTCCTCTGCAGAGACCCCGAGCTGGCCCCCTCTGTCCACTCCAGGTGGTCTCTGGTCCCACCTTGGGGCACCTGCCTCCCAGTCCTTCCCCTCCATGCACTTGATCTGCACTGAGCTCAGTCACGGAAGTCACAGGCTGGGCCCAGCAAAGTCCACGGTGCCTGCTCCGTTTTCCAACCAGGCATTTCCATGGGCTGGGAGCAGCGAGGCCCGGCCAGGCCGGTCTCTCTAGCTACAGGGTCTCGGAGATGGGGGCTGCACCACACTTCCACTGTCCCCGAGGAAAGTCAGTTTCAGTGTCACCGTCTGAGACGATCCCCGCCCTGCAGCTGTTGACAGTGAAATCCACAGAGAGCCAGGGACCTCCGAGTGCCAGCAGGATGCAGGTGGGCCCTCCTGGAGGGGCAGCCCTGGGACTGTCTGGGGCCATCCTGTGAGTGCAGGGCTCTGCCTGACCCTGCAGAAGCCTCACAGCCAGAAACTCCCTGTCTTTCCATGCCCAGCTACTCAGCTCCTTCGCAGTGATCCAGCCCGCTGGCAACAGCGCCAGCCTGCGTCCATAACTGGCATGTGGCATACGGCAAGGGGCGGCCAGCAGAAGGCCAGCCAGGGGTCCTGGGTGGCTCCCCAGAGCAGACTCACTGGGCGGCAGCTGCTCGTACCCTCAGGGGAAGCCACCTGCTCCTTCCTAGACGTCCCGGTCCCCTGGGATCTGAGCGGCTCAGCCTTCGGGGGTCTGTACCGAGGGAATTCCTGCCTGTTCGGGACATCCCCATCAACCTGCCAGCCTCCCCCCTTCCCTGCAGAGATCTGGGTGACCCTGTGCTTAGCATGACTGCTTCCCCCAGTGTTCATCTGCTGGAAACTTACTCCCTCATTCATGTGCAGTGGTGTTTGGTGGTGAGAACTTCAAGGAGTGATTGGCTTCTAAGTTCTCATAAAAGGATCAATCCAGTCATGGATCAATTGCTTATAGAGGGGGTGACTCTCGGGTCCCCAGTTGCCACCTGGAGCGTGATCAACCTCTATTATTTATAAGTCACCTGGTCTTGGATATGTTCCTATGGCAACAGAAAGAGGACTCAGACACTCTGCTCTGGTTAACCTCACTGACGCCTACACCCCAGTGCTCCTTCCCAAGACAGGACGCCCTCGGACACCCGCACACCCAGATGGGAGTCCTGACAGGCCGGGCCTCGCCCCTCCCACATCCCTGAGGACGCTGCCTCGAGGCTCACAACCTGCCCCACTCCTCCTGCTTCGGAACAGGGAGCATCGAGGGAAACAATGGCTGAGTTAACAGTGGGAACTGGGCTGGGAAGGCAAAGGGCAGCATGCCAGGAGCTTGACAATGGAACGGGGCAAAGGCGAAGGTGAGGGGTGAAAGGCTGCCGCTCATTATCTGTCACCTGGGCAATGATACACTGTATCTCTGCGCACCATTCATCCCTGTAAATGAGTAATCTGCTCGGTTGGGCAGATCTGGAGGAAGGGTAAAACTGGAGGTGTGTGTGGTTTTACAAGCAAGTTATATCAACTGGCCTGCAGCCGAGATGTGGGCACCTTGATCCCAAGTTACAAGCTGGCAGAGGGGTCAGGCCAGGGGCGCAGGGCTCAGGTTCCCTAAGAGAGCAGCAGTGTCCTGAGGGACTGCAGCGGGGCCGGTGGGCCCAAGGCCACTGAAAGTCTCACTGTCAAGTTACAGCTGGCCCAGGGTAGAAGGGCTGAGCCCAGGAGAGGAGCGCTGGACACAGGCAGAAGTGGTGGGCACACCGTGGCTGAGGGGAGCAGGGACTTAGGCCAGGAGCGCAGCCATGCCCTCACCACAGCCGTGCCCAGGGCAGCGTTCAGTGTTCAGCCAGTGCCCTTGAAAGACCCGAGCTCAGGGTGCACAGCCAAGCGCAAACACAAACACATTCTGAAGAAAAGGCCCAGTGATCCAGGGCACAGAAGAAAACCCCAGCTTTTCCTGCAATTCCGAGGCACCCAGGCTCAGAATGGAACTAAATAAAAAAGTGCCTTTTTTCTGCATTCTGGAAATATTTGTCATTTTCTTACTGTATTGTTGGGCTAAGCGAACAGCAGCTGTCAGGCAGAGTTCTCTGGCAAGCTTGCTTCTGAACATGAATCAACTTTGGATGAAGTCTAGGGAAGACGTGGGGCCTTAGATCAAGTTCAACTATTGTGAGAAAACCGAGGTTTAGAGAGGTTCAGTGGCTCTGTCTCCTGATTCCCGATGCACCTTCTCCTACTCTCGGGGCTGTTCTCACACACATCCAAGTTCAAATCCCTGTCTGCAGGATGGATGAGGTGGTAACATCAAGCCCACAAGATACAGTGAGGTTCGCATCGCTAATCTTCAGTACAGGATTCACTCAGTGTCTTTTGCGTATTAAGTACGCACTGAATGGACATTTATTTCCATGCTATTCCCTCTGCCTCAGCCTTCCTCCTCAACCACCCCGCCTCGAGCAGTTATTTTTCCAAACAAGGGGGACTGGTACAGTTCTGTTTACGTTATGATGCCCACAGGAGCAGAAAGCACAGGCAAAGGAACATACAGTACTTTCTGTCTGTGGTAGCAACAGTCACAGTGAAGCAGTGATAATAACGCGTAGGAAAGCAACAGCTATTCTGGTGATTGGAGGGAACACAGATAAGGACTGGGAACCTCTGAGATAACCACAGTCTCGAAAGAGAGGGAGGAAGAAGCCCTCGTCCATTTTCTCTGATGTGCATGACGCAATTCTGCATCTCCCAGCTTCCACTGCCCCAGGTCTTTCCAGCGATGAACAGCAGGCTCTGCAGATCCTGCATGTGTTATTAGACTCTAACCATCGTCACTCTCCCAGAGAAACCTTTTAATGCCAGCACCAGAAACCTGGGGGGACCAAGCACTCCAAGCGGGCTTCAGTCTGGGTGATTCTCCTTCACTCCGACTGGCATGGGCTCTCAGGAGGTGACAGATGTAAGGAACACTCCAGGCTTAGAGATCTGGGTTGAGAGGGGGAACAAGGAGTCCCAGTGTGTTCTCAACGCAGTGAGAGCAGACCTCAGCACCATGCACACCTCCTGTGCCCTGGGTCACCCAGCGCTGCACGCGCACCTCCGGCCTTTCCCCCCGCATCTGGACACTGGAAGTCTGCTGGGCCATCCGAGCCAAGAAACCATCCTAACCCTGAGAAGGAAATTTCAGTGCGCCCAGCCCCGTGGGGTAGGGACCACCCCACCTCTGTCCCTGGGAGCAGGGGACACACTGTCACCCCCTTTGGTAAGGGTGGTAGGGGTGTCACAAGCAAGCACGAGGCTCCTGTGAACCTCAGACTTCCTGCCGCGTGGAAGTGGCCACACGGACACCACGTGGGGCGTTGACCTCCAACTTCCCAGGCTAACATCTGGCAAGGTTCGGGAAGTACCAAGGGGCTGGTTTTGCATCTCACCCTGGACATTAACAAATGTACAACCACACTTATTTCCACCTCTTTCCAAATGCAGGATCTGATAAAAAGTCTGCATCCTCCAGTCTGCGGGCTCCGGTGCAGTCTTGCTGAGCCCGAGTTTCTCAACTTGCAAATCTATTCCACACTCAAACTGTCTTTGCTCTCATTTTAACCTCACTGACCACCTGGTTTACTCCTTCATGGAAAGCCACACCTGGCGCTCTTGGGGCCCCAAAAGGAGCCCATTCTGCTCTGTCCTTTTCTTTTTTACTTTCAAGGACTAGGGATGAGATTGAATCCAGAGCCCTCACAGGGAGCTATATCCCCTGCCCTCTTTTCTGATTTTTTTTTTTTTTAATTTTGAGGCAGGGTTTGGCTAAATCCTTTATTTCCCCAGGTGGGGCTGGAATTTGAAATACAATTTCCTCTGCCTCCCGGAGCGCTGGGATTACTGCATGCACCACCAGATTCAGGTCCGGCCTCATTCCTGGGCAGTGCTCAGGCCTGCCCCGCTGTCTCGGCTGGAGAAGTGGGAGGAACAAGCCCCAGGTGAGCCTGACACGGGTACGTGGACAGCGCTGCTTTGCTCCGGTCTGGTGCCAACCGCGCTTGACATCTACGCTGCTGTTGGATCGACAGAACCGCAGTCTTTGAAGCTGACAGGAGCCCCGGGGATGGCCAAGCAGGGGCCCCACAGAGAGGGCCAGGGCTGGCTCCACCCACTTTGCCAAAACCCATCAGAGTTGCGTCAGCCCTTCTAGCCAGGGATCAAAGCCCGGCTAGCCTGCAAGTTGCGGTGGCAAACCTCTGGGCTTCTTGTGCTGCCACCCGTAGGTCAGCGCGATCGCCCGTGCCTCGGAGGCGGGGACAAGCCTGCCATCTCTCCACGTGACCCAGAGTAAACTGAATCTCAGTGCTGGAGGCAGCGCTGCCAGTGCGGAGCGCGCACAGCACGGCCTGGCGTGCTCCGGCCTGCTCGGGCCTGCGCCCTCGGTACGGAATGGCTCCGAGGGACAGTCCTCCCTGCGCGCGCACGTCCGGGTGGCGCGCCTCGGTCTCCCGGGCGGCGACCCCACGGTCTCCCGACCCTCCCACCCCCCCCCCCGCCTACCTGTCGCGCAGCTGCCCCACACGCAGCCCCAGCGCCGTCACCTCGGCCTCGGGCACCGCCACCCCCTTGCAGGACTTGATCGGGTAGACCCAGAGCTGCGCCACGGTGCCCACCGGCTGCCGTCGCCAGCCTCGCCGGGGCCGCGCGCGCCAGGCCACCGCCCCCAGCGCCGCCGCCGCCAGCCCCAGAGCGGCGACGCCGAGCCACGCGGGCCGGACGGGCGCGGGGAGGCCGAGGCGGGAGAGCGCGCTGGAGCCTGCGGCGCCCATGGCGGCCAAGCGGACACTGAGGCCGGAGACTGCGCCCGGGGCCGGGGAGGGGCTACGGCGGCACCGGGCGGAGGGGAGGATCCGCGTAGGAGACACTGGGACCCGGATCGGGGCGGGCCAGGGAGGGGCCTAGTGCGGCTGGGGCGCGGGGCACCGAGACCCCCGGAGCGCGCCCAGCACGCGGGACGGACTCCCAGCGCCGCCGCGCGGCCACTTTCGCTCTACTGTTCCTCCTTCGTCTCCGCAGCGCGATGGCAGCCACGCAGCGCGGGCCTCCGCCGCCCTGCTCCGGCTTTGCTCGGGCTCGGGAACACCTGGCACCCGCTGTCTCCGCCGTCGCCGAGAACTGCGGGACTGGCAGGCTCGTGGGCCCCCTGAGCCCTCGCAGGGCCTCGGGAGAAAGACCTTCCTTTGAGACGGCTCACTGCCACCCCGCAGGCCAGGCCGGAGCCGGGCGGGCCCCCGCCAGTCACCCGCCGTAGCTTTCCCCCTGCACCAATCCGCGTGGAACTCACCTGCTTCCTCGCCTGTCCCCCATGCTGAAGAGGAGGCGAGAAGTCTGTTTTCATCCTTTAGTGTCTGGCTTTGTTTACCCTTAAAAGCAAGCTACTAGGGCCATGGAGGATTTTCTTAGATAACTTAAGGTTTGAGGCCCTTCATTTATTTTTCAAACATCGTGCCTTTCAAACATCGTGTGCACAGTTCTGTGGGAGCTCGAGGCACCAGGCTCTGGACCCCTCCCAAGCCCAGCTCAGCCGCCCTTGGGAGCAGAGACCCAGGAGGGAGGGGACAGAGGCCACACTCCTGAGGCTGCTCCGCGTGAAAAGTGAACTAGGAAACCAGGCCTTCATGTCCCCATGGCACCCCACAACACCTTGTTGGAAACCAAGCCAGGAAATCCCCACACGTTCCGGTCATGCTCAGCACCCAAGGCCTCCTATTTGTTTCTCCTGTGTGGTGTGGTGTCGTGTGGGAGGCGGGTGTGTAAAGTACTCCCCAGCCCTGTGCCCCTCCAGACTTCAGGGCTCAGGCCCTCCCTGTCACAAGCCAGCCATCAGAGCCACACTCCGCAGTCTTGGCCTCCAGGGCCAGAGCTCCGAGGAAAGGTCTGTGTAACAGACCTCTGGTGCTGGCCACATGAGGCAGGCCAGGCCCCGGGATGCACGCCTCACACGCAAATCCAGGGGGTGAGCTCCGAGGTGAGGTGAAGCATGGCCGGGACTCCAGGGAAGCAGAGGCACGGAGCAGCCCCGCCTCAGGACAGAGGGTGTTCAGTGGACGGAGCATCTGGGCTGAGACTTGAACACAGGGAGTGGTGGGAGTGGCATTCTGGGCACATCCCACAGCCTGGACAAGGAGCAATTAAGTGGGGACCATGGTGGTATTTGGGAAACAAACTAGTCCTTCCTCAAGGAACACAAGGGAAAGCTGTAAAAACACTTTATGATCCTTTCCATGTGGAAAGAAATGCTACAGGAAGAAATGGTCACTCGGATTTTCACAGGACAAGGACTAGTGGTTGCCTCCCTACAGGTCTGCCAAGCATGCCCACCCTGTGCCTACAACAACCCTGGCAAGCCCAGACATTCTTGTTAGAACCCTTACCAAGGAGAGGGACATACCCTGGGGAGGACTGACAGACTTCACCTGCATACCACCACGTGGTCCTAAACAGATGTTGGCCCTAATTGACACCTCTACTGGCTGGACTGAGGCCATATTTACCAACTCAATGAAAGCTATGGAGGTAGTCTAGTTGCTCCTCGAAGAAATTATCCCCAGTTTGGATACTCTAGTCCCTTCAGAGTCACAATAAGGCCTTCTTTGACTTCTCAAATAACAGGGGCTGGCAAAGGCTTTAGGAATAAAATACCATCTCTGTTCTACATGGAGACCTCAGACTCCTGGAAAGGTCCAGAGAGCCAACCAGACCCTAAAGTGAGCCCTGGAGAAACTTTGCCAGGAGACATCTAAGTCCTGGCTCTGGCTATTGCCAAAAGTGCGTGAGGGTTCAAAATACTCCCCCAGACAGGGCTAAATATGAGTCCACTTGAGATGCTGCATGGAAGGCCTTTTCCATTTGCTGATACAGTAGAGAACCCAGAGGCCACGAGGTCCTTGCAGTATCTTATTCATCTGAGTCAAGCACATCAAGCTACCCATCTGCCTGGGAACAGAGTCCTGCCAGCTCCTGGCCCAAGTGGACCATCTAACTTCTTCCCTGGAGGCAAAGCACCCCTTAAAACTTGGAAAGAAGGGGCTCCCGCAGGCCAGTTAAAGCCGAAACGGAAGGCCTCTTTTCAGCAAACCTTGGCTTACCCATCGCAGTGAAGGAGGCAGAGAGACACAGCTTGACTCAGCTTTCAGGACAAAGCCAGCCCTGCCTGAAGTGCCTAGGCAAGGGACTGCCCACGAGAAAGCTGATCCTGGGAACCTCTGAACCACGTGAGGCTCCTCTTCACAAAGAGCGACTCCAGAACTGCCCTGGGTAACACAAGTAGAGCCACTCATTAGTAACCACCGATCCAGCGTGGCCTAGATGGGCACCTGGCCCGCAACTCTCGTTTTTAGTGGGATCCATAAACTGGGTCATCCTGCTCGGGCTGTGGCTCTCAGGCTCTTGGCAGTTTATCTCATAACCCTCTTTTGTCTTTTAGGGAGTAACCATTTTATTATGATTGTGGCATCCCTCTTGTTTAAACCTCACAAAAATCTCATGAAGTAAATGCTATTGTTACCCATTTCATTGATGCAAAAAAAGTGAGATTAAAGAGGTGCACTAGTGCAGATAGGCTAGATTAGGCTGAAAGGACAAAGCTTTAAGCAGACGCAAGCAACCCTTCTGAACACCCCTCAGCAGGCAGTGACGGCTCCCCCCAACACTGCTTTCTATCTTGGGGAGAGTTTTTCAATAAGAGACCCACACCAGCAGCTGGGACTGTCAGGGCCTGAAAGCAGCATGGAACAGTTCTCCCCGGTGGATGTCAGATCCTCAAATGTGGAGACAGTGAAACATCTCCCAGTGGTTTTGTCCCTTGCGGCTCAACAAGCCCCCATTCCGAAGCCCTCAGCATCCTAGCTGCCCATCCAGATGCACTTGCTTGTCGACATGCCTTTAAGAGTACTGTGTACTGGACCCCAATCAGCACCTGTCCCTCCTGCGTGCTTTGACCATTACCTTCCTGGCCCAGAAGCCTGGCCTCCAGGGACAGAGATCAGAATCCCATTCATGTCTCAGCCAGTGTTTGGTATTATTGTCTGGTAGGCTGAGGTGGACATGACCCCAGCACTTCTTGTGAGACTGAACAAAAGTCACTCCATTTTGTAATAAGGCCCCATCTTGTCTGCTTCTATTACACTTCACCATGGGGACGTCAAGTTCCCAGAATGTACTTGTTGCTCTTCCAAGGAAACTGCAAGATAGCCTTATGCCTGTTATGTAAAGATTGGTTGCTACACTCCCCCAACCGCCAAGGTCTGGCTTCTGTACTTTTGCTTGCCAAGTTCCCTCTTGCAACCCCTATAAAAAAGACCTCAGTCCCTAAGCCGGGTGCCTCTTTAAGCTTGGTGCTTGGAGGGTGCCATCTGGCCAGACTAATAAAGGTCTGTTTTACTTCCACAACTTGTCCGGTGTTTTCCCTCCCGGATGATCTTCGTTGTAGTCAGGTCCTCGAAGCGTTTGGTGAGGCCCATGGTCTTACACTTCTCTCTGCACATTAAGAAGCCTGAATGAACCTAACCACAGATTTATTTTAGCACAACTCCAAGTCTCAACATTTCTGTAAAATATCGCCATCCTTCCGTCCCCCGGATTCAGTCTCTGTGAATGTTCTGAGGCTTGTTTCCTACTTCTGGTTTATAATCCAATGCTGCAAGTTTGTGTCAACTACACATTCAGTAAGACAGTCTCCTGAGCCTCGTGATAAGATCGCGAAATGGCTCAAGTCCAAACACAGGGTCTTGTGCTGTTCTCTTACTATCTGTCCATCAAAATAGACTTGATTTCTTATTATCTTTTTTGCTTCAGAATTTACAGGATAAAGACAAAAGAATGATTCTAAGTCTTCCCCTTCTCCTGTCTCCTGCAAATATTATGCTGTGTTTTGCTATATTCTTTTTGATGCAAATGCATATTTCTGAAGCCCTCTTTGGGGACACACAGTGATAAAGCACTTGTCTGGCATGAATGAGGCCCTGAATTCCAAACCTATCCCTAAAAGCATTCCTTTGTGTTGTTTTGCATTTTTAAAATATTCAGCTCATTACTCACCTTACCCTCCTTGTCCTGAGTTTGTGTCCTTGATCACACGGCCCTGTGCTGTCCTTCATACATGCTGCTGCAGCATCTTAGCCCCAACTGCAGACAGAAGGGGCCCACCCCATGTCCCGGAGCTTGTGCTTCTGTTCTCTCTTCTCCCACCTTGGGAGGCAAGTGTTTTCTGACTGGACTATAGTTAGACTCCTCTGTGGTCTCCTCAAGGTACTCTACACAGTGCAGAACCAGACTATCCCAGGGTGACCGTCAAAAGCTCTTGAGGCCTGGGTTGTTCCCTACGCTAAAGCTAGCACGTCAGTCTGCCATGATTTTATGGATGTTGACCGAGGACACGAGCCTTTAGGTCAGAGGCAAAGGGCAGTTTATTACAGTGATTGCGCTTGCTGGAGTAATCAGCCTTTTCAAGTGTGGTCCCCAAGCCCTGATCCTCCAGGGCAATATGAAGCGGTCTATGTGACCCCTGCAGGCATAAGGACCTGTGATACAGGTCAGGAACTTGGAGTTTGGGGAACTCGAATCTCCTACAATGGGTGGGAAGCCTGCCTGCCCTTCGTTTGGGAGGGAGACATTCCTCTGTCTGCCAAGCCTCTTCACTGTACAAACAGCCCCGAAAAGATAGGAACAAAGAGGGGCCGGGGATGAATGAAGCTCAGTGGTGGCGCACCTGCCTCACAAGCGCAAGGTCCTGAGTTTGATTCCTGGTACTGAAAAAAAGAAAAAAAGCAAAGAGAAGGCAGCGCCTTGGTGTGACAGGAAGACTCTTGAGAGAGGGCAGAGAATCCGGTCTCCCTGCAGTGACAGCCAGCAAGCCCCCGCTGAATGTCAGCGCGAGGGTGCAGAACCACCACAGGCGCTGCTCCGGGGGCGGGCGAGTGGAGCTGCACCGCCAGGCCTCCACCACCCTGCCTCTACTGGGCCGCTTCCCTCCAGGACGACACCCCATCGGTCCAGGCTGGGCCCCTCGCCTTCTACAAGTGCGTGTTTGCGTTAGCACAGGCCCGCAGGCTGTGTGGCTCCGCGGGTTCCACACACGACGCCTCCGCGCCCTTCAGGCCCCTCCCGCCTCCCTGAGCCCTTCTCCCCGCTGACTGCGTCCGTCCTCTCCGCGCAGGGCTGGGGACAAACCCGTCCGTTCCCTCCCCTAGCTGCACGGGAAGTAATCTGTCCAACTGCTGTCACAGCACCTTTTCGGGAAACCGGGAAACTAACTTATCCTCCCGACTCGGATCCCCTCGAACCTTAACAATGCTACTCTCGGCTCCAGTTCGTTTGGTGGACATTTTATTTCTTTTTTATGTCGTATTGTATCTATTTTTGCACCGGATTGGAGTTTGCCAAGGTCTCGCAGCCCCGCCCCGGCCTGGCCGCTGAGGTCCGGACCAGGGCCCAGCACCGGGGTCCCCACTGCGGACCCGGGAGGGGACACGCGGGAGGTGAGCCAGGCGCGGCCTTGAGCCGCCAGGGGGCGCGTGGCGGGCGGAGACAGCGGCGGGCAGGGCCCCTTCCTGAGACAGCCCCGTCCCCCACATCCCAGGCCGGGGTCGCCGGCTCCCTCGGCCGGGCACGTGCAGCCGGAGCCCACAGGAAGGGCGCCTCGCCCCCGCCCGCGCGGCCCGAGTGTCCGTGTCCCCTGCGCTTCCCCGCCCCTTCCTGCTGCTTTGATGGGAGAGGCTGCCAGTGCGCTTCCTCTCCCTCCCACACCGCACACTCTGTTCCCTGTGGCGCCTGCAGAGAAAGGGGCTTTCGTCTCAGAGCAAGGAAGGAGGTTGTGGCAGGCCGCTCCCCGCTGACCTGCGAGCCTGGTCTTGGTCCCTCCGAGGCCTCCCCCAAGGAAAAATGACGCACGGTCTCCTGGGTTAATCACAGCGCCTCCTTTCCTTTCGTTCATTCATCATTCATTCAACCCCCAGGTCATTCGTTCAGGTACTTACCTGGGCAGCCTCACACCTTCAGTAAAGGTAACCAAGAAAGAGTTCAGCCCATGGTTCCAACTGCCCCTTCTCTCCCAGGCGACCGCTTCCTGTCACTGTGGCTAGTCTGGACACTTCACATCAATGAAACCCTACAAGACCCGGCCTGCTTGTTTGGTGTGTCTCACTTGCACAGTGCGCCAGGGCTCTCCCACGTTGCAGCATGTAACCTTGCATTCCTTTTCGTGGCTGAGTAATATTCCACTGGGTGCATGCCTACAATGCTCTAGATTTTCCACTCATCAGCTGACGGCCATTGGGACTGTTCTTGCTCCAGGCTGTCATTAGTAGCGTCACTGAGAATCTTTGTGTACAGTTTTACAGGAACATATGTTTGCAGTTCTCTTGGGTCTACACCAATGTGGAAGTACAGGGTCACTGAGTCCGTACTGGTTTCACTTTCTGAGGAACTGTGGGACTATTTTCCACCACGCCTGCACCATTTCCCTCCCAGTAGTGCCAGATGAGCTGCCCTTTGTTCCCCCTGTGTAGACATCGGAGGCGAGCCCAGGGCCTGAGGGAGGGGGCAGGCTGCCTGTACGCCCTGTCCTGCCCAGCAGATGGCAGACACGAGAAGAGGTGAACCCGGGGCTCCTTCCCTGGAGGCTTTCTGGCTGTCTCCCAGTGCGGGGGTCTGGGGAGACAGTGCTCCTCAGAGCTGCCTCCACTGAGAGCTGGGGTTTCCGGTGTGGAGTGGACCCCACCTGGCACCCTCCCCACCCCCATCCAGGTCGCCTGCCAATCCTAGCAGGAAACAGTTCCGGCCGAGGCCAGCCAACATTGTTGACGCAGTGGGAGGAATCCTGGCTGGCTTTGACTAAAACTTCTGACATTGGAGAAGGAAGGCCACTGGGTGGAGAGCAGGTCTTTGAGCGTTGCCATTTAAACAATTTTCGCGACAAATACAAAGCCTGCCACAAACTCATTTGCTCTGAATGAGTTCCTGGAGCCTCGGACAGTGGGACATCTTTTCTTTTTCTCTCTCTTAGGTATCGGCAATCAGAGGGCCTCAGGCAGTTTAGTAAGGCCCCTTCTCTCACCACCTTCCCCAGGAGGGCCTCCGTTAGTGTTGTTCATTCAGGACCAGCACTTACGAGGCTGAGGCAGGAAGCTGCAAGTTTGAGTTGTACTCACACGGGGGGAAGAGTGCAACTCCCAAACCTGCTAGATATCCGAAACTAAAGTTCGTGTTCTCTAAAATGGAAGAATGAATTCTAGGAACAACGGAGGTGAAGAGTAGGAAAACTTTATTGGGAGAAAGACAGCTTCTGCCTAAAAGCAACAGAAGGGGGCCCAGAAAGTGGGTTGCCCGCCCACCCTAACTTTCAAAGATGTTTTACACAGCAAAGCCATGTGGTGAGGCGGGTACGAAGTGGGACAAAACTGTAAGACCCAATGGAAATTTACAAGGTGGGCATGAGGTGGGGCAAAACCATGACCAACCAACAAGATTGCAAGCACAGTTACCCAGGTAACATTGATTAAATGGGGATCAAATGACGGAGCAAGTCCTGTAGCAAGCGTACAAGGGTTTTCAGAAAGGGTGGGTCAGGGATCTTTCCCGGAAAGGCTGGGGTAAGACCGTGGCCCCCCATCCAGGTGATTTATACCTATTTAGAACATCAGTCACTGCTCTTCATCTTACATGGGTAGGCTAATTTCTCTCCTTTTACAATGCTGGCCTTCAGTGAATGTGTCTTCACTCTCCTCCATGTTGGCTCCTTGTGGGCTGGCCCTGTCTAACTGCCTACAAGATATCTAATTAACCTACCTATCTGCAGTACTACATGGGCAACATAGTGAGACTCAGTCTCAAAATACTAAATAAATACATAAATAAATGAGTAAGTGAATGGGGCTGTGGATGTAGTTCACTGGCAGAGCACCTGGCTTTGATCCTTGCTGGAGACCCCTGCGGTCAGGTTCCAGTCCCCACCTGGCCAGTGTGTGATGCAGGCCTGAGAAAAGAATGCACTAAGAGACAGAAGTAGGAGAGAAATCAGGGGCCAGGACAACCAGTGCTGGTGCAGCCAACAAAGGCAGTGGCCAGTCCCAGGCACTGACTTTTATGGACAATCAACTGGGGTAAAGGTGAGCTATGAGTGGTTTCTATGGAAATTAATGTAAACAAGGCTTGTGAAGGACAAGACATGGCACTCTCAAGTTAGGAACAGAATAGACAAAATACATGGTTGTGATTAGAACACTGTCCTTCTAGTCTGAAGGTGTAGTTGTGGGAAAGGAATTTGGGTGCGAGTTACTCTGACCTCGGACATAGGCTTCAGCTGGACTCACTTCTATAAACAAGCTGACTGTGGGGTTGGCTCTTCACAGCCTCCCTTGGGCATAATATTACAGTCCTCCGCAGCTCTCCCTTCTCTGTTTGAAAACAGCAGCTCCATCAGGTCTGGTGATCTTTGCAGGTCCCAGGGCTGTGGCAGGTGAGGGGAGTGAATCAGAGGCAGCCTGTGCATGGCTTTCAGCAGGGTGTCACATCGTGCTGCTTATAGCGAATCCATCTTGTTGGTTCAAGGTGGTATGTTCTGGGGTGATGGCCACAACATCTTTTTATTTTCTGTTGAAAAATAAGCATCCCCTGGCCCCTATGTTATTAATTGTATGGAGCCATTTACCTTTTAGTTAGGACATCCTTTGACAGCACTATTGTCTAGGACATGTCTGTAGGTCTTTCTTTGTATATATTTACTTTCCATACGTGGATTTAAAAATTTTTAAATGAAAGTAACAAGATCTAATTGAGCTTGTGGAGGTAGCTGCACCCCCCCCTTTGGGTTTATTGTGCCTTTAGGGAAAGGTGAATACGTTCAACAATGGCTTGGCCCCATGAGTTAGCCAGTGGACCCTATGTGACAAAAACTTACAATGTGTCTAACTGGCTTAACTGTCTATAATAATTCCCTTTCCAAGGAGCACCTCCAACTGCAGCTAGGGGAGAAAGGGCATAGTTTCAATCTAACTTCTTCGAGCTGGGAAGCGTGGATGTAAGGAAGACAGAGGCTCTCTTCAGGGAGCTAATTTAATAGGCCTTAAATAAAATCATGTTGTGATTTAGCAATTATAAACTCTCTATACAAAGTCAATCTGGTGGATTTTGGTTAAAAAAATCTAGCACATTTGTTGTTGATTTTATCTACATAATCACTTGGAGTTTGGCAGCCTATAGGCAAGAATAAACAATTTTTTAAAGAAATTAGAGCATTATAATCAAATTATAAGTACTAAAATAAAAAAGCAGGTTGGGGAAACAGCCATGTTTAGAAACTGTTTTTAAAAGACTAAAATAGTAATTGTAAACTGCTGGCTCTTAGACTCTTTTATTAATAGAGGTTATCTATAAGTCTGATATTTGTCATAATTTTTTAAATTTTAGCTGTAAAAAGACTGAAAATTTAATAATTAAAAAAACAATTTCAGCTAAAAATGTTAAAACTCTTGTGGAGGTCTATAAATTTTACCATAGTTTTTTCTATTGACCCATAACAGGAGTGAGTCACGAGTGTAGCTGGAAACTGTCAGTAGGGGTCAGCAATTGGAGCCCCTTCTTATATCCAGCTGTATTACTATGGTCCTGACTTTATCTATCTTTGGATTATGCTTTTCTACTGGGTGTTCAAGAGCAAGTTAAGGTGAGACCTACATTAATTAAAAGTAACCTCTTGGAGTCTATCAAGGTCAATTAAGTCTCCACAGACATGACTTGAACCTTGCATAGAGCTTTTCAACTCCTGTCGTGTCAGCCATCAGGGTGTGTCATGGGCTTGCTTGACCATGTTGCTTTCTGTGAAAGCGTGGGAGATTTTTCCCTACAAGTGACACTCCTTTGGCACACTCTTGATTCTTATCTTTTTGGTGTCCAACAATCTCTCTGCTCAGGAGGTTGGGTGACTTAACAAAGTTGGTAGAGCAAAGTTGGTAAAGCAAAATAACGAGAGGATCAGGTAGAAAATGTTCTTCACTTTCTGGGTTATTTGTAGACCTTGAAGGGTCAGGGCCAAAATATTGGCTGTCTTCTTACCACAAGTCATCTTTTTAATTCTGGTATCTAAGCATTAGTTGTTGAACACCCAGAACAGAATATCAATAACATTAGCATTGCAATGGGAGTAGTGAACTTAACTGTCATAATTTTATCTGGATATCAAGCACTTTTTTTTTTGTTGGCACCAGGGATCAAACTCAGGACCTTGCACTTACAAGTCAGGCACTGGAACCACTGAGCTAAAATCCCCGGCCCCTGGATATCAAGCACTTTGAAATATAAAGTATAGTTAGAAGACTGTTATTATTACCAATCATGGTTGTTCTAGCCATTAAATTCCTGTAAAATGTTAACAGAAAAAAAAGTTTCAAATCAAGAGCCACACATAATATTTTAGCATGACAATCATGATGGCATTATCTTTGTAACACACTTAAGTGTCCATCTTGGTATAAAATAGCCATTGTTAAATGCACTCATTCTCTTCCAAAAACTCAAAACATTATTATCCAAATTGTTGTCTTTTGATGGGATGCCGTCTAAACAAAATACATCAGCTTATAAATGTACCTCTTATCGTAAGTAGCTGGAGTATAATAGAATGGCAAATACCTGAATCAAAAGAAGGTTATTATCATAAACAATATATTAGAAAACCTGTACAGTCAGAAAGCGTAAATACATTTAGTACACCAGAAAGTTAACAATAATAATTACCACAGTTATATATGTGAAACCTTATACCCTCTAATTTAGTTTGGTAAAAAGCATCTTTTCAATAAAACCTTGCTTTGTTTTCACAGAAAATTCAATCTTTTGAAGATGACCAGTGTAAACATATCACATAACATATTTAGAGCTTAAGCCTTTGATGACAACCAATGTAATCATATTACAATAACATTTTAAAGTAATATTCATTGATGTAAGTCTCTTTTAAGGCTATGAAAACTATCAGGATCAGTCTGTTGTAAGAGTATACAAACTGTTGAGGTTCCCCTAGTGAGCAAAGGCTGGAAAATATTTCCACATGGCCGCTCTTGTATTCACCAAGAGGAGTCCTGTTTAGCAATCTCTCTAAACCTATGGATCTTCATTAATTCCTTTGACAAAGCTTACTTAATAACCTGTAAAAACCAGATTGTAACAATTAATACATTATTTGTAACCAATTCATGTGGGGGTTTTTAGGTACTAGGGATCGAACTCGGGTCCTTGTGCTTGCGAGGCAAGTGGCAGTACCACTGAGCTAAAACTCCAGCCCACCAATTAATGTTTTGGAGTGATTATATTAGACAACAATATATATTACATCATTTTGATCTGTTAGCAACTGGGGTGGGGATAATACATGCCTTTAAGTTTCATAACCTTTATCTACAAGCCAATTTAGATTATAAGCAAATATCTTTTTAAAAAAAATTTTTTAAAGGAATAAACTTGTTAAACAACACAACTGTACAGTTGGACAGACAAACGGGCAAACAAACAAACATAAGACAATTTATAAAACTAGATATTTAGCTTAATTGAATTATAAATCCTTTCATAATTTTTAGGTTCATAATTGTAAATAAGACTGGTCAAAACTCTTTGTAAGTCAATTAACAGAGATCTCTTGTAGAACTGGAAAGAATGAAAGCTCTTTATGCCTGTAAATGCAAACCTTTTATAACAAACTTGAAGCCAATAAGCAAATATACATATTTTCTTGATAAATCACTTCCACACACCTTCTCAACATACCTAGGCCTTCTGATCTTGTATATCTCTCTTTATTCTTCTAATAAGACAAACATACAAAATCCTTTCATATCGGGGCTGGGGATTTAGCTCAGTGGTACTGCTGCCTGCCTTGCAAGCGCAAGGTCCCAAGTTCAATCCACAGTACCCCCGCAAAAAGAAAAATCCTTTCATATCAAAAATATATCTCTTGGGCCAGGGATTTAGCTCAGTGGGTCTGGTGCCTGCTGTGCAAGTGCAAGGTCCCAAGTTTGATATCCAGTACCAACAAAAATATCTTTTACTTATAGCCTTTTTAATATTTTTCCTCCATCTCACTTACTATAAATCTTCTATTAAAAACTTGTCTTCAGCTGTTAAAATTTTAAAGTGTCTCTTTTTTTTCTGTTCTGAGATTGTTACAATTTAAAATTTGACTGGCTGCCAATAGAACAGCAGTAACTTTGAGTTCTTCATCAACAAAGTACAGAAAAGAACAAGTTAACCCTATAATTACAATGCAAGAATTTGCAATGCACAAGAAATGTTTTAGGCACACCAATTAAACATCAACGCAAATTATAACAAAGATACATTTATCAATTAGCTAAAATTTGTAGCTTGATTTCTCTTATAAAATCTCTATGTCTGGTAGAGACCAGTTGCAGTTTCCCTGGCTTTGTATTGGATTCCAGACCTTTGCAGGCAGCATCAGGCTGATAACGCAGCGCTGGCCATGGCTCTTACAGCCAGGAGTGTTTTTCTCATTGTTTTGCTTTATGCTTTCCAAAGCGTTTCTAGCTGTTTTCAATCCATTATTTATTTTCTCATTTCAGTTCTTCCCAATCTGAGTGCAAGTTTTGATTTTTTCTGAGTGTGACCATGGCACTTCCCAGTGCATGGAAGCCAAGCAGTTCTCCTCATGCTTTTTACCCACCTCCTCCGCACCTGTGAGCTTGCAGCTCAAGTCAAGGGGGAGGAAGCTTGGCCTCCTCCAGAGGGGAGCACTGGGGTTTGCCTGTAACGATGTCACATTTCCTGAGAGGCAGGTCCGCTTTGTGAAAGACAGCAGATTTGGGGAGCAGTTGTTCTAAGAACAAAACTAAACAGTTCTCACCGGCGGCTCATTGCCGCAAAACAGAAGCTTGAGCGGCTCCCAGGCTTCACTGTTCGGGCCGCAAAACAGAGCGCACAAAGCTCCAAGCTGTCAAGGTCTCAGTTAAAGTCTCAGGGGAGATAACTTCTCTTCTCTGCTGAGTTGTCTGGATGTTATTTTTGACACGCTGCCTAAGTTCCATATCTAAAGTTCTTGTTGGTGAAAAATGATGGTTATATTTACCTTTTGCAGCACTTAGTTCAACACTGCAGGCCAGCTTGGGCTGAAAGTGATTTCCTCATGTTTTGGTCCCAGCTGACTACCTTTACTACCGTCTTGCATCTGAAGCATCTACCTCTTTTTTCCAGGGTTTTGTGCTTCATGTTTAGACTTCCTTATCTTGATGTGAGGTGCACTGCATCCTGGATTCCTTTTTTTCCTTTTTCTTTTCTTCCTCTTTACCCTGAGTAGCCTCACTGAGCAGGTGATTGCTTATAGTTCAAGCCCCCACAATGGGCACCAATTGCTGGAGACCTCTGTAGTCAGTCGGGTTCCAGTCCTCACCTGCCCAGTATATGATGCAGGTCTGAGAAATAAATGCACGAAGAGACAGAACTAGGAGAGAAAGCAGGGAGCCAGGACGACCAATGCAATGCAACCGACAAAGGCCCTGGCCAGTCCCAGGCACTGACTTTTATAGGCAATCAACTGGGGTAAAGGCGAGCAATGAGTGGTTTCTATGGAAATTAATGTAAACAAGGCTTGTGAAGGACAAGACATGGCACTCTCAAATTAGGAACAGAATAGACAAAATATATGATTGTGATTAGAACACTGTCCTTCTAATCTGAAGGTTTTAGTTGTGGGAATGGAATTTGGGTGCGAGTTACTCTGACCTCAGCACGTAGGCTTCAGCCGGACTCACTTCTATAAACAAGCTGACTGTGGGGTTGGCTCTTCACAGCCTGCCTTGGGCATAATCAATGCTATCGTCCTCTGCAGGTCCTCAGTACTACCAAAAAAAGTTAATAGTAACGTCTGTAAATTGTGACCAAATATTTATTATATGCAAGACTCCTAGGTTTACAAAGTGCTAGAAGCTTACAGTCAAATGTGTAAAACATGTGTGCCCAAATGTACAAACACATGCATATAAGTGGAACCCAGTGAAGATCGAGGGGAGGGGGTTGGAATCTAGTGACACACAGAGGTCCAAAGGAGGGATTCAGGGTCAGGAAGAAGGTTCTCTCCTCACTGAGCATTTTCAGAGGGAGTTGCCTTGGTACCAGGACAGCGTTGAGAGCTGTGGAACCAGAAAGGCCCAGCCAGAGCCCGGGACTCTGCTAGATGTCCAGTAAAAGGAAGAGGAAATCTCACATATGCCCTACACAGCTCTTATTTCCTTCTTTTGTTGCACGAATAATTTCATTAAATTTGAAGAATTCATCTTCTGCCCAATTGGCTCCCCTACTCAAAGGCCATTGTGAGGACAAATGTTTCCTCTCACACCCTGCATTTTTCCTGCTCTAAGTACACTGGTTTTCAATGTTCCCTTCCAGTCCAAGCTTTGACAAATTGTTTAAATACTTGAGGACAGCGAAAAAGAACCAGCTTCCCCCACCATATGTGCAGTAATGTATGCACTTTAGGATTTTGACTCCTTGGAGGAACCCATGTGGTTTCTGGGGTCACCCTGGGAGCCCACAAGTCCAGGCCCTGAAATTTCTCTAGCTAATTATTAGGCCTATTAATGAAAAGCTTCCAAAGGTCAATGGGATTCGGATGAGAAGTGTCGTGGCTGATAAATGTCCCCAAAGGCCCTTCCATGACAATCTCAGTCCTCAGTCCCTGGTGCTACTGGAAGGTGGTATGACCTTTAAGGTGTGGGGCCCAGCTGGAGCAAGTTAGGTCATCTGGGGTGACCTGAAGGATGACCCTCTTCTCCTTTGGTTTCTGGCATCCTGAGGTGAAAAATTCCCCTGTTATATGTCCCCTCCACGATGTCCTACCTCACACAAACCAACAAACCAGCAACCCACCTGACCATGGACCAAAACCTCCAGAACTGAGCAAGTTAGCTACCTTGGGCATTTTGTTACAGGAAAAAAAACTTACACAAGAAGCAACAAAAACTCCCCACTCCGGCTCTCCTTATTACAAGCTTGTCAGGTGTGTGATAACATGAGGATAGAGTCAGTTAATCAGAGAATATTATAGTCAGGAAACATGGTAGCTTTTTGTCACTGTGACAAAATACTTGAGGAATTCAACCTAAAAGAAGCAAGACTTGTTTTGGCTCATGGTTTCAGGGCTCAGGTCATGGTTCACTGGTTGCATTGCTGAGGTCCATGGCCAGGCGGAGCAAAGCAGCTCGGCTCATGGGCCCAGGGGGCAGAAAGAGAGCCACAGAGGCCAGGGACAAACATACCCTCACAAGGCAGCCCCCAGTGACTACTTCCTCCAACCAGACGCCACCTCGGGACGTTCCCCACCTTCCCCCATGCCTCCCACACAGAAGCATCTAGGGATGTGGTCACACCTGTGCACACTCAGGAACATTTACTGCCTTCATGTGCCTGACAAGGTGCAAAGTCCAGTTCCACAAGCCAATCCTGGAATGCCAGCCAGATCTGGGAAGATCTCAGGGTCAAAGACAGAAGCAATCCTGCCTTCAGTGTGGCCAGGGTGAAAGCAGAAATGTTTTCCAAGTTTCTTTGTGCCAAGTTCATTGGGCAATATCCTGAGGCTCCCAAGAAATGTCACCAGAAAGAGGAGTCCTTGGCATATAAGAACAATTGTTATGAAACCAAAGAATGGAAGAATGGGCCAGGTAACTGCCCATATATCTACCCACAGCAGATAGAACAAATACATTCTGGTGGTTCATACAGTAAATTAAGGTATAGCAATAAAGATGGGAGACAGCAGTACCAATCTTACAGAAATGAAAGGCTTATAACAGAGTACGAAGAAAACTATGTGCCAACAAGTCAAACAAAGTAGACAAAATTAGATTTCTAGAAAACTGCAAACTGACAAAAGTGACTCAGGAAGAATTAGAAAACCTAAGTAGATCTATAACAAGAACTTAAATTAGTGATTATTTTCCACAAAGGCCTGGATAACTTCACTGGTGAATTCTCCAAAATACTTTTAAGTTCTAAAACCTACTTTTACAAACTCTTCAAAATATTGAACAGAACGGGGGCCGGGGATTTAGCTCAGTAGTTTCGCTGCCTGCTGCACAAGCGCAAGGACCCGAGTCCAATCCCTGGTACCAAAAAAAAAAAAAAAAATTAAAGAGAAGGGAAAAAAATCTCTTCTCATTCTATGAGGCCAGCTTTATCTTGATACCAAAGCCAGATGTATCATTATCCTGTGACACCTTCAGAAAAGAAAACTATAGAACATTATCATTTATGAATATAGGTATAAAAATCTTCAATAAAACACTAGCAAACTGAGTCCAACAACATACAGTCAGGTGGAATTTGTCCAGCATTGTGGTTGGTTTAACATCCAAAAATCAGTTAATGTAATATAAGTTGTCAATAGAAAGGCCACAAAAAGGACAAAAAACAAAAAACACACTATCATCTCAATAAGTGCAGGAAATGCACTGGGAAAATCCAGTATCCTTTCATGGTAAAAATACTCATTAATTTAGGAATAGGAAAGAACTTTCTCAATCTGAATCTCATCCGAGAAAAGCACGTAGCATTCCTATGGTGAAAGACTGCCTTCTTTCCTCCTGAATCAGGATCGAGTCAGGAATGTCTGCTTCTGCTGTTTTATAATTCAGTAGTGCAGTGGAAGTTCTTGCCAGAGCAACTAGGCAAGAAAAAGAAATACTCAGAATTCATATTGGAAGAGAAAAAATAAGACCAGACTCTACTCACAGGTAACATAATGTTACATATAAAAAATCCTACGTAATCACTAAAAAATATTATCAAAGATAATAAGTACGCTGGGCATGGTGGTTCATACTATAAACTTAGCATTCTGGGAGGCTGAGGCAGGAGGATTGCAGGTTCAAGCCAGCCTGGGCAACTTAGTGACATTGAGCAAGACCTTGTCTCAAAATTTAAAAATACAAAAAGAACTGGGGAAGTAGTTCAGGGCGAGGGCCTTGTGTTCAATTCCTACTGTGATGGAAAAAAAGAGAGTAAGTGAATTAGCATGGTAGCAGAATACAAAATCAATATACAAAAAGTCTTTGTATTTTTATGCACTATTAAATGAATGGTCTTAAAAGGAAATTAAGAAAAATTACATTTGCAATGAGATCAAAAAGAATAAGTTAGGGCGGGGGATTTAGCTCAGTGGTTCTGCCGCTTGCCTGGCAAACGCAAGGTCCCTCGTTCCATCCCTGGTAACAAAACAAAAACAAACAAACAACAACAACAACAAAAAAGAATAAGTTATTAGGAATAAATTTAACAGAAGGTGTGTAAAACTTGTATTTTGAGAACTACAAAATACTATTGAAAGAAATTCCAGAAGTCTTAAATAAATGAAAAACATCATGCTTCTGGCCTTGGAAGCCTTAACGCTATAAGATGATAATGTTCCCCAAATTGACCTACAGTTTCATTGCTATCTGGTCAACAATCTCATCTGGCTTTTTTGGTAAAAACTGACAAATTAATCATAAAATTTAAATAGAATTCAAGGGACCAAGAACAGCAAAACCAATTTGAAAGATAGAATCAAACTTGGAGGACTCACACTCCCTGATTTCAAAACACAATACACAGCTACAAATGTCAAGACATTTTCGGCACTGGCACAAAGCTTGGCATGCAGTTCAACAGAATGCAATGAAGACTCCAGAAATAAATTATATTCAAGCTTAATTGATTTTTGATGAACCCCAAAACAAATCAGTATGGATGAGACATTCTTTCCAACTTTTGGCGCTGAAATAGCTAGATATCATGTTCAAAGTGCCCCATATAGAAGTCTAATGCAGAACGGTTGATAGGCCTACTTGAAAGAGTTAAAACTAAAACTCTGTCTTAAAAGAAAATAACAATGTAAATCCTCACAACCTCCGATTAGACTAAGTCTTCTGTGATCGCTAACTACGATATGTCAGTGCAGACGTGACGGAGAAACAACTGGCCAGGAGATCAGTAAAGCTCTGGGCATGTCTGTGGATGATTGACAGGTAGGCTGGAAACTGAGGAGGGAAGAACCACCCCGGATGTGGTGGCCTCAACCAACAGGTTCTTCCAGATGAAGCAAACATCTCCAACATGAAATTTAGAACTTTTTCATCACCTCAGAAAGCCATGTACTCATTAGCAGTCAAACCCCGTTTTCTTTCAACCCTAGATAGAATCCACTAATCTCGCTCTTTTTCTGTGGATTTGCCTCTTCTGGACATTTCCCATACAGGGAAGCATACAAGATGTGGCCTTTTGTGACTGGATCTCTCCATAATGTCAAAATTCATCCCCATTATAGTATATAGCATTGCTTCATCCCTCTTTATGGCCAAATAGTACCCCACTATGTGACAATTGATTTTTTTTTTTCTGGCACCAGAGATTGAACTCAGGGCTTTGTGCTTGCGAGGCAGGCGGCAGAACCACTGAGCTAAATCCCTGGCCCCCCTCTGTGTGAATACACTGCATTTTGTGTAGCCATTCATCTGCTGATGGCCTTTGGATTGTTTACATGTTTTGCTCATGCTGAATAATCCTGCTATGAACATCTGTGCACATGTTTTGTGTGGACACGTTTTCATTTTCACAGATAGATACCAATGAACAGAATTGCTGGGTCAAATACCAACTACATGGGTAGCATTTTGAGAAATGGCCTGACCATTTTCCAGCTGGAATGCAGGAGTCCAGCCTCTGGACATCTTCAGTACATGCATAATCTGACTTTTTGATGACAGCTGTAATAGTGTTCTTGCTTCGAGCAGGTGCCTCATCGTGGGGGAGTCTGTACAGCTCTGCCTGTCCTGGAAGCTGGGCTGATGACAGGTCAGGAGACTGGGTGGCATTCCAGGGAGGCCTGGAATTGGATGTTGCAAAATCTGGCCATCGGCTGTCCCGGCAAATCCTGAAACTTACTGTGGTACTCTTGCCGTCCTCAGTCTTAAAGGGGGACGAGGTGAATCTGGGGCCAGTAAACCTTGTTTTGCCAACTTTTAGATGGATGCTTCCCAAAGGACCAAAATGTCTCTATGCAGAGCAAAGAAGAACTTGGCCCAGAGTTTTACCAACTGCAGGTCAAGCTTTATTCTGCTTTTAGTTACCCATACCAAGTGAAGAGTCACGTGGTTTCAGGTTTTGGTTTTTGTTTCTGTTTGGGGGTTTGTTTTAATAGTAAAACCAATATTTTAAGACCTAATCGGCCCAGAAGGAGAATTCTTCCTCCCCCTCCCCCTCCCCCTCTGAGAGCGTCATGAATTTGCACTCCATCCTTGCACAGGAGCTGTGGTGAGCTCTGTATCATTCCAGCTTTAGTACACATGCTGCCAGCGTCAGCACCAAATCCTGCTCCTCCCGAGTAACAGGCTGAGCGCCCGGAGCTTGTTTGTCCTTGGTCCCCATGGTTGATCCTGTGTCGGTGCGTCTGTCCCTGGCTTGTCCTGCCCCGGCCCCGGCCCGTGCCCAGGGCGGTGTGGTCCGGGACGACCCTGCAGAGGTCCACACAGAGAACAGCGGGCCCCTCCGGCCCCGCGGCACTAGGAGACCCCGCACCTCGCAAGCAGCTGCACTGGGGCGGCGGTGGAAGGCACCGGGCGCTGGCAAACGCCCCCGTGGGGTTGCAGAATCACCATTATTTTTACTTTCTTCCATTTTTAAGTATTCTGAGATGACTATTCAGAAGGCAGACGGTAAGTGTTCACAAAATAAAACTTTCTGCACTTGTATTTTATTTTTGTGGCGCAGGGATCTACTGAGTTCCCCGCAAGCGGCCCACCACGGCCACGGCCAGCGCTTTCGGACCTGGGGACCCTGGGAGCCTGCGGAGGAACCCCCAGGTCGCCCTGCGCCCTGCGAGCCGAGGCTGCGCCTGTGGAGGGCAGAGCTTGCGCCTGCGAGGGCGGAGCCTGGGCCTGCGAGGTCAGAGCCGACCCCTCCCCGGGCCCCAGGCGACTCCTCCTACTGGCCAGCAACCCCTGGAGGCCCAGCAAAGCCAAGTCTTTCCTGCATTCTGGCAAAACCAACACGGAGATCCACAGGCCCTGAAATGGGAAGAGAGGTGTGATGGGGAGGCTGTCTTGCTTAAAGCCCACCTGGGCAGGGCCTGGTGGTGCAGCCCTGTAATCCCAGCACTCTGGGAGGCTGAGGCAGGAGGATTGCTAGTTTGAATCCCACGTGGGCCACGGAGCAAGACTTTTTCTCACAATAAAAAATAATCAAAAAGGGGTGGGGTGTAGCTCAGTGCAGCTCCATCCCCAGGACTGCAAAACAAGAAGAAAGCCCAGGTAGACCAGCAGCACGAGGGGTAGGTGTGGGAGCCCAAGCCCAGGAGGTGTCTCAGACCCAGCGGGAAGCAGGGCACCCCGAGACACGTGGCATGGGCTCTGCTGGCCTTGACCGGTTGCCTGCCTGTGGGTCTCAGCCCCTCCTTTCCACAAGGGCCACAGCCTCTAGGATGCTGGTGCCGCAGGGCCGGGTGATGCGGAGGCAGAGCGCTCCCCACACAGCCCAGCCTTGTGGGAGGGAGGGACCGCAGGGAGCACAGGGCGTCCAGGTCCCCCTAGGCCTCGTGACTGGCCGCGGGCTCCGTGCTGGGCATGGCAGCAGAGGGCGGGAAACCAGGGCCGGCAGGAGGCCTTAAGCAGCCAGCGGGTCAGGGCCGATGCACACAGCCCGGGCTCTGCTTCTCCCCACAGGGCCCTTCCTGTGGCTCGGGCGAAGCCAGACCCCAACGCGGAGGGACCTGTCACCACCCTGTCCCTGTGGAAACCCACCAGCTGCCTCTGCCACCCCTCACTGTCATGGCACCAGCGCCCCCCCACCCCCACCCCGGCAGCTTCCCCTGGCAGCTCTGGGCCACTTCCGCACCAGGCCCTGCCCTTGCTCTCCTGTCGCCCACGGGCCTCCTGTCCTGTCCCCGTGTGGGCTGGAGTTGCCTGCTCCGGAGCAGCTGCATGGACTCATCCTTGGGCACCAGGACCTCGGCAGCTGTGCTGTCCCTACCTGGGCTGGGCACCGGGAGCTGCTCAGGTCCACTTGTTGAATGACTGAGTGCCTGAAAAAGTAGAGAGAATGTGGACCTGTTATGGGAGCACCCAGGAGCCAGGCCTGAGACTCAGACTTCTCCTGGCGAAGGCTCTGTCCCAAGACGGCCCCAGCGTCAGACAAAGACAGTGGCAGGCTGTCACCTGTACTGTGGGTGGACCAGCTATAAACTGGGGCCTCCTTGACCCCCAAGTTTGAGCAGGCTGCTAGCGCGGCTCACAGAGTCCCCCGAAATGCCGATGTTTGCGGTTTCTGATCTCATGGACCCGAAGGAGCGGCCAGATGAAGAGAGGCACAGGCAGGGTCTGGGGGTCCCCACAGAGCTGGGCTGAGCCTCCTCCCGGCATGGGGGCGCTCAGTGCCCCGCGGGTCCCCAGCCCTGCAGCCCAGGGATTTTTGTGGCATCTGCACTCGCAGAGGTGGCCCAGATTAACCGGGTCTCTGTGCTCTGCTCCCTGGAGGGCACCAGGTCTCACGTGTGTGTGGCTGGGTCCTTCTGTGAAAGGGTGGAGGAGCTGACAGCCCTGCCGACGTCCCCTCCCTCTGCAGAAGTCCTGAGGGCTCCTCCCCAGGACACAGCCAGGGCCAAGCACAAAAACCAGGAGGCAGGTGGAGCTGCTCAGTCACTCAGGACAGAACAGCCACCGGCCAGGGCCCAAGGGCAGAGACCGTGAGGGGCAGGGTCCGCTCCCTCGGTCGGCTCAGGGGCCACGGGAGGCAGGGCGGGCTGGTCCCTGTCCAGAGCTGCTCCACCTCTGCAGGGGACGAAGCTCCTCCCTGCCGGGCATGGAGGCCTGGGAGAAACAGCTCCTTTTCTTCCTTAATTTTTATTCTCATTAGCAGGTGTCTGCCGCATGTCATGATCACGGTCCTCACAGGGAGGTGGCACATGGACGCAACACATCTTCACTCTTCTCACTTCTGAGCTCCGGCAGTCCGGGGGCAGGGGACACACAGAGGGCACAGACTGGGCAGCCACAGCTGGGCACCGGGAGGAGCGGGCACCCTCCCATGGGCGGGGGAGGCCCCACCTTAGGGCGGTGCTAAAGCTCAGGGCCCTCTGGGCTCCAACTCTGCGTCTCACTGAGCAGGCACCGCCCCGGGCCCTGAGGCCTCCCTCTGTGTCCCCCGTCCGCTGGTGTCCTGCTGCCCTGGGGACTGAGCCCGCCCCCTCCACACAAACCTCAAGCTGGGAACATTTTGGGGACAGCCTGGGGACACACGCCTGAAGACAGCCCGCCCCAGACGCTGAGATCAGGGAAGGTGTGAAGGTGCAGGGACCTTCAGCTTGGCCAGAGAAGCTGCCAGAGCAGAGGCAAAAGCAGGGGCGAGGGCGGCCGACCTGCCCGGACCTTGGCCAGGAGGAGCAGAGTGGGGCGCAGCAGGGCTGGAAAACAAAGTCCGCACCGCGCCGGCCGCTGCCGTGCTGGGAAAACAGGCTCATTGTCCTACTTCCTCTGCAGGGGGCTGCAGATGGCCTGGGTCAAGAGGGAGCAGAATAGGAAGCGAAAGGGCACCTTTGAGATGCAAAGGAGAATCAGTGATCAAAAGCCAAGGGCCAGGGGCCGAGGCTGGAGGAAGCTGAAGCGCTGGGCTCAGGATGGTGGGCCCGGGAGGGATGGACGAGCCGTCCACCTCGGCCTCGCTACTGTACCCTCCGTGTCCGGCCCAGGGAGGGAAGGGGACCCCTGGACGGCGGTGCTGCCCTCCCGATGCTCCTCACCACGCTGCCCCGGCTGAGAGCAGGGTGGAGAGCGAGGCCTCAATGGCCCCACAGCACAATGCCCCTCCTCCCCGCAGCCACCTTTGCCCACGCGGCTGTGCCACGGGCTCTGCGCTCACGACACCCCTGGCCGAGCTGTGCCCTGATCCTCCCTCCAGTCCCGGGCTGCTCACCCTCACCTCAGCCCCAGTCTACTGGCTTCCTCCTGGGATGTCTTCGGGGTGGACAGGGGCTCACCCTTGGAAGGGCCCCTCTGTCCTGCTCCTGACGCTGTCCCTCCAAGCTGTGACCCGAGGGAGGGGTGGGAAGCGGTGGCTCAGGGAGGCAGAGCCCCTGCCCATGACAGATCCCCACGCCAATCCCACGCTGCCTGGTGAACCCCATGCTGACACCACTCTGGCCCAAGACACAGCCAGGACTCGAACTCAGCATCAGAGGAAGGAATAAATGCGCAAAGGCAGGGGCTCTGTGGCGTGTGCCTCCCGGTCCTGGTCGGTGCTGTTACGACCCAGGAGGCCTCACGAGCTTTGTCCCGAGGCTCCTGCGCGCCAGGCCTTCTCTGGGTCCCAGCCCAACTGTCTGACCCGAGCTCCTCATGCTGGGGGAGGTGGGGGCTGACCCTTCTGTCTGCCCTGCAGACATGCACTCAGCTTCGGAAGCAAGGCTCAGGGCGAGGCGCCCTGCCTGGTGGCCAGCAGAGCTGAGCACCCACAGCCCCTCCTTTCTGGGGCTCCGGTGAGCAACCCCCAGACCCCACCTTGCCCTCAGCTCCTCAGCGGCCTGCCTGGCTCCTGCAGCCCCAACCCTCGGGTTCCAAGGAAGGAGAGCAGACGGCCTGGGAAGAGCAGGCCTCCAGCAGGCCGCATCCCTCTCCTTTCCCTCCCACCCCAGCCACCTGGGGGCTCCAGGGGCTCCTGCCTCCCTCCAAGGCCAGGGCACTAAGAGAATTTACTGACAAAGGAACGCAAGACAGGCTGAAATCTCTGAGGACAGCAGGCAGGTTTCCAGGCCAGGAACCAAAGCTGGGGCCAGAGACGAGATTCCGCAGGGGGTGGAGCCAGGGAGGCCAGGACATCAGAGCCGCAGTCCCCAGGGCGCTGTCCTCGCCAGTCTCTCAGGACACCTGTGTTGTGACAGAAGTTGTCATCAAAGTTGCAAATGGTCAAGGCCTCTGCTTATGCCTCACAAAGGGCTCTTCAGACTCAGAGAAGCGCCTCTGTGTGCTTTAACCCGTGGGGAAAGACACCCGTCAGTGTGAGGAGGGAAGGTGGGCGTGGGCTTACTCCTGTCTGGTGCTGTGGGACCTCTGTCCCTGCTGGGCAGGAGTAGCCTGGCCGAGAAGTTTGGCTGAGGTCAGCCCTTGGGTCACCGCAGAGGGGGACCTCAGCTGGGGCCGGCTGCAGGGGGAGCGGCATCGCCATGCCAGCTTCCTGACCCCTGCCTTCTTCTCCTGGTTCTCAGCAGCCTTCATACTTAGCTCTGAAGAGTGAGCCTTGGAGGTAAACACCGTTTGCTCTACAAAGGGCACTGAGCCAAGCCCTGGAATCTGAAGATGCTGAGGAACTCGTCCAAGGTCACATGGCCAGAAGGTCAGATGCCAGGGAGGCTGCTATTGTGCGGAGTGACTTCCTGCAGCCCTGGGACTTGGCCCCGGCCGGGGGTAAACAATGGGTGGCTGGGCTGGGGGACAAAACTCCCAGCCAGCAGCAGCAGCAACAGCAGCTGCAGAAATGGCCATGGAGTGCGGGCAAAGTGGCAGCGCGAATTCTCAGTGTCCTAGCCCCAGCCCTCCCTGCCCAGGTCCCCTCCACACGGACACTGCGAAGTCCACAGCAAAGCAGGCCAGCACCTCTCCCCTGCTGCAAGTCCCCCCTGTGGCTGCCCTGAGCATCTGTGAGAGGCAGGCCCGGCACACACCGGCTGGCCCAGGCCCTCCCAGGGGTCCCCTGACAGACGCTACTGGGGCCCTGCAGAGAACAGCCTCACCTCTCAGGCCCCTGCTGGACTCCAAACCCAACCCAAGGCTCTCGGTTTTAGCTGACTCAGGCTGTGGGCCCATGCACCTGGGAGCCTACCCTTCGGGCTTCCAGAGGATCACCCCATCCCACCAGCCCAGTAGGGGCTCCTCCCTGGGAGCAGCTGTGGACCCTGCCGGTCCCCCTCTATCCACCACCTGTCCCTGGCTGTCACCTGCTGCACCAGGTTTCCAGGCAAGGAAGAAAGTGAGGGAGAAACAGCCTTGGCACGGAAACACTGACCAGGCTGGAGCTTGTTCACATCACAGGCCGAGGAAAGGATAGGGAAGAAGCTGTGCTCCACGGGCCCAAGGGAGAGCTCTAGAACTCGGTTCCCAGGAGGGCAGCGGCCGTGGTACTGACGATCAGAGAGCAAAGTAAAAAGGCGACCTGCTACTTGATGGGGTAGGCGCAGGGAGCACTCGGCCCTGCCGTGGGGGTGACCCTTGGGCATTGGGAGCTGGGTGAAGTCCTCTCTGTGAGCCCGATCCTCAGGACAAGCCCCGCGAGCCTCTGACTTGTGACATTTCTGAGTTAATTCTTAACCAGACCTTCAGAAGTTCAGGGCCAGATGTGCTTGATTTTGCGGATTTTCCAACTTGGGGGCCAGGGAAGTCCCTGGCCCCCTCCCCAGGAGACACCCTACTCACCGGGGGACCTGGTGCAGGGGTCCTGCTTCCCTCAGGGGGCCAGCAGGCCCTGGGCCCTGAGGTCCTTCTCTGCTCCACACTCTGCCCTCGGTGATCTCCCATGTGTGCACATGACCTGCAGCACTGGCCAACGCAGGATCCGTGTCTGTGATGCAGCATGGGGTCCCGGGAGACCCCCAAGCCTTACCCGAGGACTAAGCTGTACCCCTACTGACTCCAGCTTGGAAAAGGAATTTTCAGGACATGTTAGAAGAGGCACGAAGGAATTTATTAGACAAACATTTTAAAAGCGTACATTGAAAGACACACACAGCCTGCGAGTCCTGGAGGGGGGGGGGTGCCTATGGTCGGAGCTGGGCGCAGTTATGGGGCCTGCGGGCCGAGAGGGGTGCCTGGGATGTGTGTTGCTACTGTCTGTCACGTTGCTCATCAGAACACGATTTCCACAAGCCCGAAGTTGGGATCTACCGCCCGCTAACACTGCTGCCTCCCTGAAGGTAGAAGTTTGTGGGAGAAAGTATAGTAAACAAGTAAAATCCAGGCACAGCGGCACACAGCTGTAATCCGAGCACTTGGACACTGAGGCAGGAGGATTTCCATGAATTCGGGGCCAGCCTGGGTTGCTTAATGAGTCCAAGGCTGGCCTGAACTCCATGGTGAGACCCTGTCCTAAAAAAAAAAAGTAAAAAATACAGGCCCCTGGAAGCCCAATTTACAGGCTCATTGTATCTTTACGGCCCTTGGGGATAAATAATTTGAGTTTCCTTGGGCCGGGGATTGAGCTCAGTGGTTCCCAAGTTCAATCCCCGGTACCAAAAAAAAAAAAAAATTGAGTTTCCTGAAAGGAAAAAAGGCTTGAGCAACTTTTGTGTCCTAAAGCTGAAGTTTTTCTGAAAAACACAATTTTAAAATTCTGGTCTTTGCCTCGTTTCCCTGGCTTCATTCCTTCTACCCTACCTCACCTCCAGTCACCGTTTTCTCCACCAGCCCATCCATCCATCCGTCCCTCTACGGCTTCCCTGCCCCCCGGGCGGGCCCTGGCTGGGCTGGGTGGCTGAGGCAGGAGCATCCAGGCCTCTGGATATTCTGGGCACAGCTGGAACTCAGCCTGTCGCAGGGGTCAGCAGAGGGCAGAGGGATCTTCTCCACCCTCCACCTCCCTCAAGCAACTCAGAGTGCAGGCTGCGCTGACAGGGCCAGGACCTCAAGCACCCCAACCTCGGGATCCAGGGAGTCCGCGTCAGCTGGTTGCACAGGGCAGGACAGGGCGCTCCACACCCGAGTGTGAGCCTGCGGGCCACAGAGGGCCGAGCCCCGCCATGGGCCCTGGCAGCCCCCCCGGTCCCCCAGAACTACAGCCCCAGCTGCCTGGGCCCCCCGACACTGGACTTCCCCACCTGCCCCTGCTGCTCCTCTGACACCCTTCCTGCCCTCTTCCACATCCTCCAACCGTCTGCTACTTTCTGGCTCCTCTTCTGAATCCTCACCCGTCCCAGCTTCCTGTGCCCCCCACTCTCCCAGGGTCCAGGCACCGAGGAGAGGCTTCCTCCCCCTTCTGTGGCCCAGCTGAGAATGCAGGAGGCAATCCTCAGCGCCTTCAAAGGGAGGCTGTCCTTTCCTTCCTTCCTTCCCTCCCTCCCTCCCTCTTCCTGAGCCTGTGATGAAACTCCCTTGACAGAGTGGTGGAGTGACAGGGTGGGAGAGAATGACTTGAGAAATAAACAGCTGCTTTGCTCAGCCTCAGAAGTCAGGAAGCCAGGGCCCTGGGCGGCCCGGGAGCCCGCGCCCTGTGCAGGAGATTCCTGCTCTGGAGCGGCCATCGGCTGCCCACGCTGCTCAAATCAGTCTCCAGCCCACCCTGCCCAAATCAGTCTCCAGCCCACCCTGCCGCCTTCCCCGAAGGATGAGTGTCCCAGGGACCAACTCCCCTGGCCCCAGGTGGGCCCCTCAGGCCAGTGTCTGGCAGCCCGCTGGAGGCGGCAGGCTGGCTGGCGCTTGACCCATCCGACCCAACAAGGAAGGCAGCTTCTCATCCGGTGCTCAGTGCTCGTGCTCTGCGAGTCCAAGTCCGAAAGGCGCAGGGTCCTCTAGCGCACAAGGGACACCACGCTGGTGCCCACTGCGAACGGGGAGGAGTAGGCAGCGGCAAAGCTCTGCAGGCCAAGGACGAGGTATCGGCAGCCCTTGGTGACGACCTTGCCCACGTTCTGTTGGGGCCGAGGAGAAGGCAAGGGTTAGGGGCGAGTTTCCAGCAGGCCCTGGGGAGGAGCCCCGCCCACCCGTCAAGCCCACCCCCTCCTCTTCCCTCCTACCGTCCAAGAGCCTCCTGTGTCCTCCCACTACTCCCTGCTCCTGTTCAGCACTCAAATCATCCCCTTTGCACCTTTTGCCAGTCTCCAAGTGCTCCCCTCTTTTTTTTTAAGACTGGGTCTCACGCTGCAGTCCAGGCTGGCCTTGAACTCACTGTGCAGCCCAGACTGGCCTCCAACTTGCAGTGATCCTCCTGCCTCAGCCTCCCGAGTGCTGGGACTACAGGTGTGCACCAGAGTGCTTGAAACAACCCCAAACTCCTGAGGGGCGGCTTGGCCACTGATCCCCACTGACCTCCTGGCCTGTGGGAGATGCTGGGGGGCAGGGAGCCCAAGTGACTCCAAAGAAACTGCAACAAAAAGTGCAGACCCCAAGGCCCGGCACGGACTGCACTGTGCCCTGGACGAGCTCTCCCGCCCCCGCCCGTCACCCTCCCCAGGGACCTCAAGGCCCCCGAGCTGGCCTGGCCTTGTCCCATGCCCCTCTCCTCCCCTCCCCGTGACTGCGGCACCTGTGGCAGCCCAAGGACGGCTTCGCTGCAAACCCCTGACCCCACCCACTGAAGGCCTTCTCTGCCTTCCAGCCCCGAGGTGACCCCAGCACACGGTCCCAGAGACCGCACGTCCAGGAAGCCGGCGTCCTCCCCTTCCAGAGGCACAGCAGCCTTCTCCAGGCCCCTGACACCCGGCGGCCTCTTCTGTCACCTCCAGAGTCAGTGTCCTCAGGGACTGTCCCAGCCCCCTGTCTGCAAACCCTCGCCGGCCGCTGCTGTGCCTCTCTCCCGCCTGGCCTCCGGGCCCCTTCTCAGTGTCACCCTCCTCCGCCTTGCTCCCGACCCCGCGGCCAGCCCAGGTCTGTGCTGCCGCTCCACGCTCCGGGCCTCCACCTCCCCTGCAGCCCTGGACGCTGTCCCCACCTCGGGGCACGGCCGCCTCCAGCCACCTGGCTGCCTGAGCCCACCGAGGCCTCCTCACCCTCCCTACTTCCCCGGCCCCTGACCACGCGGCCCTGTGATTCCGTCTTCTCTTGGTCCGTGGCCACTTCGTGGGATCTGCACTGTCTGGACTGGGTCCTCCCTTCCTCTCCAGCCTTCGGAGCCCCTCCTGGCCTCTGTGCTGCTCTCCACCCCCCACTCGGCCTGCAGCCTCTCCTTGGGCTGTGCATCCACGGAAGTGACTTCCGCCCTCTCCTGGGTGCTGGAAACACTGGGGTCGGACTCAGATATTCCGCTCCCGGAGTGAGCACTGGGGTCATGACCTGAGCTTGGGTCTCCAGAGAGGTTCCAGTGGCATCAGCAGTGTTGCGTTCACCCACGACATGCAGCCGCACGGGGCAGAGCTGAGGGCCAATGAGAAGAAGGCTCACTGCGGAGCTGGTGCCTCCATCTCATCTTCCTCCCTTCTCTAGGCAGAATCTGGAGCCTGGTAGTTCACTGCTCACAGCCTGGAGTGAGGGGGTCCACAGCTCATGGCCTCAGTTTCCTCATCTGCCCAGTGGGATCAGTAGTGCCCGCCTCACTGGGTGAAGAGGATTCACGAGTGTTTCGGGGTTTCATTTTGTTCGTGGCACAGGGGACGGAACTAGGGCCTGGAGCGCACCGGGCGGCACTGTTACGAGGAGCCCACCCCCTAGCGAAGGGCTCGGCACCCTGCCTGGCACAGGCCGCAGGCCACAAAGAGCCTCGATGCCAGCCGTTCTTCCTGGAGAACAGCGAGGGCTGCTTTCAACTGCGTAGTTCTGCAGTGTGCGGTGTAGACAGAGCCGTCCGAGCCACCTTGCATTTTCAGGGTTCCTTCTGCGTGCAACCGCAGAGGCTCTGGCTTAGCCGAGTCCATGGCTCTGGTGTCAGAGTCCCCCAGTGACGGAATGAGGACAGGGCCCACTGCGCTCCTTGCTGGGCCCTCTGGTTCCTTTGGAGCTTTAATTGCTGCCCACCTGCCGGCCACTGGTTCTTGCCCTTCTCAGTGAGACGCTGGTGTGCAGGGGTGTGTGTGTGTGTGTGTGTGTGTGTGTGTGTGTGTGTGACCTTGCTAAGAGATACCTTTCTATGCATGAGGACAGGAATCACCAGGAGAATGTTACAGCAGAAACTGTGCAGCCATCAGGAGTGACCCTGGATGTCAGTGCCACCAGAAGCACAATGGCCTGGCTCACCTCGACATTTCTGCGTCTCCACATGTCATGTTCTTTGTTCTGTTTTTTTGAACTGTCACGTTGTCTTTGCAATTTAGGGGGAAAGAATCTGCTGAACCAGCTCATTAGTGGGAACCGTCAAAACACAGGTTTCAGAAATGCAGCACAGGGAAATGTGAAAGGCCGACCAACCGACCACGCCGCCATCGCCGAGACATTCAGGGGAGTGGCTTGGGGTTCCTGGGCCTCAGCAGGATGAGTCTCCCAGAAGGTCTGTGGCCGAGGAGCACAGGAGAGGGTGTCAGGCCGGGCCCTGGCCCCCGAAACCCCTGCGCCCTAATCCTCAGCACCCAGGGCTGTGTCTCCTGCAGGGCACAGGGCCTCTTGACTCATTAAGGACCCTGCAGGCAGCTTCTCCCTGGTGGGGCTGGGGACAGAATCTGGCCCCTCCGGGCTGCACCCCACCAGGGGCGTCTCCTCATGGAAGGGGGCAGTGAGCCAGCCACAGGGGAGCAGAGAGACAGAGACAGAAGGGATCGCACAGTGGGTTCTGAAGTCGGGGAAGGCACTGCAGGAGCTGGGAGGGGCAGAGCAGTGGATCCTCCTCCTCCTCCTCTGCCTCTAGAAAGTAGCAGGCTTCAGCTCAGCAGGGCTCCAGACTGGGGAGCAAGTCTGTGTGGTTTGGGCCTCCATGTCTGCCGTCATTTGTCACAGGGGCCACGGGACGGGAACACAAGGAGTGAGGCTTCCGGGGGACCCCTAGAGCTCACCCCAGGGATTCGGGGACACCCTGCCTCTCCAGTTTTAGGGAGGAAGGCAACTCTAGGAGAAGAGTGAAGGCCGCGCTCCCGAGCACAGGGACCTGCGACAGCCAGGTTTGGGGTACTGCCAGACCGGGACAGCCACAGGGCCCATGTGAGCCGGCAGGGGCTGCCAGAGGCTCCCCCCAGATTCCCCCATCACTCGCTCACTCTCCTGGACTCTCCGAGGCTCCCCATGGGCTCCAGGCCCCATCCCTGCCCCTGTTTGAAACTTGGGGATCCCTCCTGTCCTCCAGCCCTGGGGATGGAACCCAGGACCTCACCGCGCCAGGCAAACGCCCGCCTCGAGCTGCGGCCCAGCCCTCCACGTGGGCCCGTGCTAAAGGTCCTCCGCCTCCCACCCCTCCTCAGCCCTCTCAGCTGCGCAGGAGCAAAACTCCGGAGCAAGGTGGTGCCTTTCAGCCCTGTTTTCAGGGCCCACCTCCCTCCGCCCTGCTGCTCTCAGCTATGCGCACTGAGCCCCAGCTTCACTTTGGTGACCTGCACCGCAGGGACAGTCACAGCCCCCCGGGGGTACAAGGAGGCACCCCACGCACAAAGGACAAGCAGGACTGCAGACCCGGAGTCCTCCCAGGCACCCAGCCGACAGCAGTGGGGGATAATGCTCTTCCCCTGGAGCTCAGCTCGCCAGAGGCTCCGCACTGCAGGCGGGGCGGGCTGTGCCCCCAGCCCTCCCGGGGTCCCGGAGACAAACACCTTCCGGAAATAGAACAGGGAGGGGCTTGGAGGACCTGAGGTGTTAGCAGGAAAAGCGCCGTGGAAATCAGATTCTAACAACACGCTTGGTGCAGGCGCTCCTGAAATAGGACGCGTGGGATCTCTCGGGAGAGAGGCGGTGAAAGCCACCCTCCCAGGCGTCTAGCAGAGGCCTGGCTGATCTCTCTGCTCTCCAGCAAAAAGAGGTCACTGTATCCTTCTTCGTCCAGGAAGCTCGGACTTCTGATCTGAACTTGCAGTGATCCTCCTGCTTCAGCCTCCCGAGTGCTGGGATTACAGGCGTGCGCCACCACGCCTGGCTCACAAAATTTCTTTCTAAAATATTTTTATTATTTTGACATGAAAACAAAATAATATAGCAAGTCCAATTTGACTAATTAAATAAGAAAACTTACATGTGTGCCTGATAACAACGAAAGCCTGTCCTCCCAGGCGCGAGCACGCACACGCGTGGGAGGCTGCAAGTTGCCTTCTGTAATCGCTGTGGGCTCTGGGAAAGTGGAGGCTGAAGCCACTGCTTTGCACCCTCCTGGCGGTGTGGGACGCCCGTGAGACACTCGCAGGTGCGTCCAACCTTTGCTCGGGGCTGCAGGTGGCCCAGGGCAGCTAGGAACGTGTTCCCCAGGGCTGGGACACTTTTACAGTGATGACACAGAGCAGGGCATGTGAACTACATAGCGAGGCCGTGTCTCATAAATAAGAGAAACTGTGTTACTTTATCCCTGAGCTGTATTATGCATCTTATTTGCAGCCCCAGATACTTCCTCTTCCATCCCTGTGGCCCAGGCAGCCAGCAGAGCTTCACACGTCCACTTCTCTGACCCCCACACTGCACAGGTCACACCATTTTTCTTTTCTATTAAAATCCTCTTTTTATGAGGGGCCGGGGATGTGGCTCAGTGACACCACACCTGCCTCGCAAGCTCAAGGTCTTAAGTTCGATCCCCAGTACTGGAAATAAAATAAAATAAGATTCTCTTTTTTCTAGTTGAGGCAACATTCACATAACATAACGTTGACCATTTTAGAGTCTTGTTAATATATTTATAAATTGTATAGCCACCACTTGCGTCTAGTTTCAAAACATTTCCATTGTCCTCCAAAGAAAGCACACACCCAGCAAACAGCTGACATCTATTCCTCATCCCCCCACTCCTAGCAATCACTAATCTGCACTCTCTGATTTCCCTATTCTAGACATTTCATATCGCTGGGAACCCTGGAAATAAAGTGTAACCCCAAGGGCCGGGCTTATTTCACAATTTAACATCATGTTCTTAGAGGTTCATCCATTTGGTAGCATATAGTAATATTTTGTTCCTTCTTATGGCTGACTAATACTCCACTGTATGGATATACCACAATTTGTTTATCCACTCATCCACCAGTGGACCTTTTGGCAATTTGTAAATAACGCTCCTATGAACAAACGTGTGTAAATATTTGTGTGAGTGGCTGTTTTCAGTTCTTTCGGGTGTATACCTAGGAGTGGAATTGCTGGGTCCTAGGATAATGCCATGTTCACCTTCTGAGGAATCTCCAGACTGTGCCACAAGCTCACAGCAGCAGCTGCGCCCTTTTGCATTCCCACCAGCTGGGTTTCATCTTCTCCACACTCTCACTGACACTGTTGTTTTGTGTCTGGATGTTTTTTTCACCAGCCCGGTGGTGTGCAGTGGCCCTCACGGTTACCAGGCAGCATCTCTCCTCCTCCTGCACCTGTGACCTGAGGCCTCTCTGACCTCACAGCGCCATGTCCAGCTGTGCCATGCGCTGCACTGCAATGCCCCGCTGTGCCCGGCTCCAGGCCGAGGCCCTCAGGACAGGACCTGGCTGCTCCCTCCACTTCCGGCACAGGGTCTGGCACAGCAAGAGCCAGGACATCAAGAGCCAGCCCTGAGCTGAGGTTTCTGCATCCTCGGTTCAGCAGCCGAGGGGCAAAGGACGCCTGTGACCAGGGAGAGACTGAGTCCTGGGGTGACGGAGCCCGGAAGCCCCACTGTGCAGCTGTTGTTAACCCGCGCCTGCTCCCCAGGCTGCTGCAGTTTCCCCAGAACCCAGACCAAAGCTGCCGCGGCCCCTGAGTCAGGTCAGCGCATGGGGGGCCACCACGGACAGACACTGAGGACAAACCAACAGACAGACACGACGGCCACACAGGTCAGGCGGGGACGCAGGGCGCTTGGCGACAGCACCTGCGGCCTGCAGAGGTCAGCGGGCAGGGAGGCGGGCTTTGACCCGGGGCAGAGAGCTCGCCCGCCCCCAACCCCCTCCTCTGCCCTGGCTGCGCTTGACACCCCCCCCCACACACACAGGGGGTCTCAGGCAGGGACTGCGGCTGCCGCTGGGTCCCGGAAAGGACCTTGGGGTCCTGGGAGAAAACCCCAAACACGGCTCCGCTCCGGGACAGCAGGACCGGGTGTCGGGGAAAACAGACGAACAGGGCGTCTCCTCCCTTCCGAGCGGCCGCCTCCCCAGGCCGCTGGCGCCTGGGGCCCGCCCTGCCCGGGTGTGCGGGGTCAGGAGCTCCGAGCCTGCTCCCCGTCCCGCCCGCCCGCGTCCCCCGAGCCCACCTTGCCGCACTTCTTCAGCCGCCGTCGGCGCCGCTTCCCGCGCGCCTCCCCGGGCGCCGCCTCCTCCTGTGGCTGGGGCTCCGGGCGCGAGGCCGGGTGCGGGCCCTGTGCGCCCTCGGGGTCCGCGCGCCCCGGGGCCTCGGCCTCCGCGTCCAGCACGGCCTGGGCGTCCTCGTCGCCCCGCGCCCGCGCCCGGCACCGCACCCAGCGGTGCGTGAGGCCGCCGCCCGCCCGTGCCCGCAGCGCGGCTCCCAGCGCCATGCGGGCCACCTCGCCGCCTCTCCGCGCCACGCCCGCCGGCCGCCGACCTGCGCAGCGCCCCCTGGCCGCGGACCCGCCCTGCCCGCGGGTCACCTCGGGCCGGGCGCAGCGCGTGGCGGCCGGGAGTGGACAGGCGATCGGGCACGCCCTGGGGCCCCACCGCCCTCCCGTCCCTCCGCGAAGGCCGGAGGGGGCCCGCGGCTGCTCCCGGGCACCCCGGGAAACGCGGAGCAAAGCCGAGCGCAGGGCGGGTTCCGGCCCGCGCTGCGGCCGCGGATGAGACAGAAAGCCAGGGTTTTCGGAATCTCGCTCGGAGCCCAGCATCCGCTGGGCGCTGAGACTCAGCCTGCGTGGCTGGGCCTGTCCTGTCTTTGTCCCTGTTGTTTTTGAGAAGGGTCTTGCTGTGCTGCTCGTGCTGGCCTCCAACTCCTGGGCTCCAGGAACCCTCCTGCCTCAGCTTCCTGAGTAGCTGGGACTACAGGGTCTCCCCCTGAGCCAGGCTTCTGCCTTTAGTTTTTCGTTTTTGCTTTTTTAATGTGGGTAAATGTTTCTGGATTTAATATGGAGTTAAACATAACATACATTATTAATGTCATAATTAGTTTAGCACTAAAGTTTGTGATAAGTTTAAGAATTTGGTTATGTTGGTAAAAGTACATAAAATAGAGTCTGCCAAAAAATGTATACGCTGGGAAAAGAGAAACGTGTAAATACTTTAATACCGAATTTATTGAGACATCATGGGATTCAGGCCGGTTACCTTTGGCCTCTACAGCTAGAGGAGGTGCTCCGAGTGGTGACGGGAGCTTCCAGACGTTTATTAGCTGGTATTATAATCAATCGTCATGTAATAAAGGATTTAAATTAAACTCACTTATAAATGCACATACAAAACATATATAAAGTATAATTTCGCATGCACAATTCACTTACAGGTGAAGGGAATACGAAAATCTATTTGATTTACTCTGTCTGTAAGGCTTACACAGTCTTGTTCCTGTAAGAAAGAATTACATAGTTTCGTTCCACAGTGAAAGACATAAAAAGAAAGTCAAGTATTGCTTGTTAAAGTTTAGAAAAACGCCTAAGTACAGGGCAGCTCCCTCTGGTGACTGAAGCTTGGGTGGGTTTGGAAGGAGCTTGGGCCAACACACGTTGGAACTGGACAGTAAGGGAGAGCAGATTCCTGGATCTGTGACTGCAGCGGGCCTGAGCGCCGGAGGTCAGACGGTGGAGACAGGGCCGGGCCAAAGCACGAGGCGAACTCCAGCCTTCCCTTCTCCCGGGGGAAACTGAGGCAGCCCACATGAAGCAGTAGAAAGCCCGGGAGTAAAGTGTGGCTTGCAGGGCCTTGCGCCCCCGTGGGTGTCGGTGCCCGCAGCTCCGGAGCAGGACTGGGGTTGGCTGCTCTTCCGCCCGCCAGGCCCGGGAAGCGCCCTCCGCGGGGCCACTGCGTCCTCAGCGCGCTCCCGAGCCCCTTTCCTCACAGGGCTGTGGTTCCCCTCGCTCCCCAAGGCCTGTGGCTTGTGTTGAAATCCAGCCCCAGGCGATGCTTCGGGAGGAGGGACAGGTCCATGGGTCTGCGCTAGGGAAGCCAGGGCCCGGGGGACACGCGGGCTCGGGTCCCAGGAGCGCGGGGACAGCAGTGCTCTGGAGGGCAGTGCTGGGACAGGGCCTGGTGAGCGACTGGGCTGCGGGCTATGGGGACCCCCGCCCTGCCGGGCCGCACGGGACCAGACGTAGAGGGAGTGTTTAAAAGTTTAATACAGTCCTGCTGCCGGGAATCCCCCTCAAACCCTCCCCAGACGCACTTCTCCCACCGTTTCCGCCACTTTCTGAAGCAGCTCTGGGGCCTCCTTCCTGAGGGTCTTTACCAGGTGTGATCAGAAACGCGGTGAATGCAGCTGCGCAGCGCCATCCAGCTGAAGGGCGGGCTCCCAGCACCTGCCACTGTGTCATCGTCCCCTTCCTCCTCCTCCTGCTCCTGCTCCTCCTGCTCCTGCTCCTCCTGCTCCTCCTCCTCCTCCTGCTCCTCCTCCTGCTCCTCCTGCTCCTCCTGCTCCTCCTCCTGCTCCTGCTCCTCCTCCTCCTCCTGCTCCTCCTGCTCCTCCTCCTGCTCCTGCTCCTCCTCCTCCTGCTCCTGCTCCTGCTCCTCCTCCTGCTCCTGCTCCTCCTGCTCCTCC